AAGATCAAGATCAAAATCACAAGGTGTCTTGGAAGACCAACTATTCAAAATTAAGATGTGGTCACTGGTCATATTAGTGAAATTTCATGGACAAAAGAGGTCCATTGTCCAAAGTGCAGTAATATGAAGCACAGCTCAAACAGAAGGCATTTTCAAACCAAGCAGCTTTCTGTTGGACAAAATCTATGTGACCAACTTGATCTTTCGCCCTGAATTTATGGCTGAATTTTAACTGTAAATGTAACTGCACTTTTATGTAGGGAAAAACAGCCACATAATCATCATAAGGATTAAATCATTTATTAATAGAAATAATGCAAGATACAGTTTCTACAATTGACAGGTCCAAAAGTTGCAAAATACAAACCAATAATAAAACATGTATTAGCCAGGTAGAGCTAAAGATATTCTCAATATGTACGCACTTAATGTTTGGGACAATAGAGTGCCGAAGTGATGACGTCACTTTGTAGGACAACTCGGAAGCTAGCGGCGCATGGATTCCCTCGGTCGAAAAGCAATGCATTTTCCGCATAGACTTTTGGAAAATCGCAAAAAATAAGATCTGTGTTTAACAAAGGGTTGTGACCCTTACACGTTTTGTCTAGTAAGATAATCTTTACAAGTTTATCCAAAATTTATACATTTTGAAGCCTATATAAAGATTTTAAAAAACACAATCAGACACAATAAAGTTTAAAAAAAACACAAGCAGGTTATAACTGTGTGTTCTATGTCATAGATCAAATCGTGAAAATATTTAGAGGCTCTGTTCACCACAGACCTTATTTCAGGCGATTTAGCAAAAACCCATTCAAAAATCCCATAGGCTTTAGAGCGAGGGAACCGTAATGCTAAAATGCTAACTCACTTCCACGTTTTGGCCTACAGAGTGACGTCGTAACTTCGGCACTCTATACATTATGTAGTACAATAAAGTGTGCAAACATTCCAGCAAGTGCTGGAAAAAATGAGCCAACATCCAGAACTGATTATAAGGCATTCTTCACATATCTACACCTTGACTTGATCTTTATTAAATTTCCTGAGCTGTATTAAAACCCAAATCCACATCTAGCACAGTACACCACAGTATCAGGGAGACAGATCTGCACAATTCAGCAGGTGTATCAGCAGGAAACATGCTGATATTTTCCTGCACTACAGGGATTTCTCCCTTGATGAGAGGCATCCGATTCCCAGGGGACATACGGCCTCTTGCTTTTGATTATGTGTCTCACTTAATTTGTCCCTTTACACAACACAAGCTTGCTTCAACACAGATGGCCAGATTTGCTTTAAGATGATATGATATCTTCATAATTGTCACTTTTTTTTTTGTTGTTTATTCTCAGAATGCTGAAAATCAGGAAATGTGGATTCTGGGTAACACCAACCTGCGGAAGCGGAGCAAACGAACAAAGTTTGAAAACAGCCTTTTAAGCATGACTTAAGTGTCCAAATACTTTGCTAGGCCATTGCATTGCTAAATATTTAAGAATGGGAACTCAGTGGTGGCAGAATGTTTTTTCACAGGCCACTGTTAAGATTAGCTAAGTTTGCTAATCTATCTGCATTTAATGTGATTTATCTAAATTTGCACATTAAATTGATTAAATTGACTTATTCCGCATTAATCAGGCAACTCACAGTTTGCAACTTCAGATAAACTGTGGAAACTCGCCCAGACCTTAAAAGAAAAAACAGCCAGCCTAAGCTGAAAACGTGGTTGAAGCATTTAATCGAACACATTAGTATCGCTATTACATCAGCAAGCAATTTCAAACTGGCCAATATACCTGTCTTCCTTAATGTTATATTAAGGTCAATGAATTTGCAGAGTTTTTTTTCCCATTTGGTCTAAATTGTAGAGCTTTCTTATTCAGCAATGCATACTGTAAATGTGCCATGTAAAGCTCATTAAATAAAATTCAAATAAACATCATTTAAAGTATTTGAATGTACTAAAATTTAGGTTTAAATATATTACCTTAAGTTCTTGAATGTCACAGGATTCCATTTCCATGATATTTCCAAGGTTCACACACATTATGAACAATGATTTTCTATGATTTTAAACACAGAAACACAGCTTTGTTGGCCTTAACTGGTTTAAACTCATCTCCCAACCAGACCAAACTGGTGTTCAGTTGGATTAGCCTGGTCATCAAGCTGCTCTGACCAGGTAAAAATTGTCCACAACCCAACAGACAATAAAAGTGGTTTATGCTGATTTAAGCAGGTTTTTTTTTTAAGCAAGGTTGTATGGTCAGATAACACATTGTATGCTCAGATATATAGAGTTGTTTCCCTATACAACAGCTTCGCAAAACATTCTTTCAATTCTGAATTTCAAATATTTTGAAAAGTTTCTAAATTAACCTCTTTCAGCACCAAAACAAGCCTCATATCCAGCATTTTGGACATCACAATCCAATCTTCCGGTGATCTCGAGCTTTGGCAAGCCATTTTGACATTTATTCATTCCCAGGACATGAATTCTTCATATAAACGATTACATTTTAAAGCATAAAATGCAAATTCTTGACATCAGAATTAGATTTCTACTTGTAAAAATGGCAATTTTTGATATCAGGAATTACATTTCCAATAGTAAAAATGTTAATTCTTGATATCACACTCACAGTCAAGAATACAAAATCTTAATATCAAGAATTAAATTTCAACTAGTAAAAACTATAGGCTAATTCTTGATTTCTTTAATTGTATTGTTACTAGTAAAAATTATAATTTTTGATATCAGTAATTGCGTGGTTCCTAGTGCAAATGTCAGTTCTTGATGTCATTTAATTTTCACAAGTAGGAATAGTGGGCTATTTCTGATGTGAAAATGTCAAAAATTGGAATTCAACTAGCCTAAATCAATTCTTAATAACAACTGAATTTGAATGGTAGACAATGGTGACATTTAAAAAGTGAAAATATAATAACAGATATCAAGAATGATAGTTTTTACTCATTTAAATTTCATTTTTGATATCAAGAATATATTTGTATATTGGAGTGATTGCGTAATTGTTGACATTAAGAATTCACATTTTTAGCCTATATATATATATATATATATATATATATATATATAAGAAATTCCTGAAGAAAATTCCTGTTAAAAAATGCCTTTGTTACAAGTAGAAATCGAATTCCCGATAAAGAAATAGCATTTTAACTTGTGAACATTGAATAGTTTATATCAAGAATTCACATCCTGTGAATGATTAAAAGTCAAAACAGCTTGCCATATCGATTGAATTACTGCAAAATCCATCGACGCGGACTCCTCACAGCACAAATGAATCACAAACACATCCCATACTCCGTAAATCATGGCCAAAATGCTATTGTTTCTGCACATAACATCATAATGAGCATGTGCCCGCCTCATATCCAGAGAATATGAAGATACGTCGCCGTTTCAGCGTCATTGAGATCCCATATAAATGTGCACGCGCTTAAAAACTGCACTCACTCACAACGACAAAATAACATGTGGCGATGAACATCAGCACATTGTGCATTTTGTCTTTTTGGTGCAGGTATTATAAAACTGACAAAAATCGAAACGTGTATCATTTTAAGACCGACCGACGATCAGCTTTTAAAATGAAGTGCTTACCGAAGCCAGTTTGGCGTCGCTCAACCAAATGAATATATCTGTCGTTGTTTTGATCAGACATTTACAGACCAAATGTTAGGACATGTCTTTCATGAACCACAGATGCTGAGGAACGTGGATGTAGCTTATACACACACACACACACCCTCAGCATCCCGGGACAGTGAAGCGCTTATGACTTTTTTTAAAGAGACAGTCAAAATCAAAGCAACGAAGGCTAGGCTACTATAGCAAATAATAAATTATTCAGATTCTTCCTTAACTTAAAAATCATCTATTTCTCTGTGACAAGAGCTCTTCCCTGTCTGAAGTTAACAAACTTAAAATATAATACATATAGTCTTATCTTTATCAATCAAATAGCATTAATGTCAGCATACTAGCATACTACATCACTATGCAAAGTAGTGCATACTTAATAAAGTTTATTTTCAGTATGCAATAGTAAATATAATATAATTGGGGCTGTCCGAAATTGCCCTTTATACCCAGTGCATTTCAGAGGGCAGCCATAGTGGTGTTCGAAAATACTTGGATAGATAGCCGAGAGAGCTGAACGCGCTGCAGCTTAAATAGAAGTTTTCTATGCAAATAGAAAAACACCCGCAAATCTTCATATTTGGTTGTGTTGTGAACTTTTGTAGCACGCTTCTGTATTTGGTTATGTTGTGTCGTAAAACTGATGAAGATGGTTTCTTAATTTGCGGGTGTTTTTCTATTTGCATGTGTTTTCTTCACGCAGCGCATTGAACTCTCTGTGCCATCGTAGGATAGCCTATATTATTGAATACATCTCTTCAATTCCATAATTCACCACAATAGCAAGAGTATAGCCAGAGACTATTTATATAGAGACATGCCACTTCCTCAATCCTTAAAGAACACCAAAGATGGCGGTTGTATGCACATGCCCCGCCCCTCCCGCTGGAAAGCCAAAGTCCGGTCTGCTTTTAACAGTCAAGCCGGGAAACATTTAAGCCTGACAGCCAAAGCGTCAAAGCGTTGTTACGTCACGAAAGTGCAGACTCAAAGGAAGACCGCCAGTGTTTAGGGTGCCATTTGGGAAGGGCCTACTTCCTCTATGGACCACCTTATTCAGATCAGCACCATGAACAGCTGTGAAAGTGAGACTGTGAGGGATAGTTTGCAATGGCATCCGCTGTAAAAATCCTAGATCACTCACAATTTTATTTTTTTGTCAACTGAAATTCCTTGGAAAGATATGTTTGCAGTGTTTTGTCAGCAGACACATTAAGTACAACCCACTGAAGAGATGTGTGCTCACAGCCTCGCTTTCATTCCCGTTAAAAACCAAAGATGGCGCTGCTGTGAATAAGGCCTATGGTTTCAGACACCACTACAAATGGCTGCTGTTCTAGAGAGAATTTGACTGGACAAAACGAACGTAGTGCAGGATGAGTCTACATGTCATTATTATTTTTCTTGTAGCGAGAGACTGTAAACTTTAAATATATCGGCTAACTGTTAATTTTGTCAACGTTTATGGTGATTAAACTAGCATAGATGGCCTCAAAGCGAACGGACGGGCTAAAAATAGGCTTTTATTTTGAAATGTCTTGAAGTCTTCGAGCAGTGCGTTCAGCTTCACTCCCTCGTTCGTTCCCCTCAGCGACACTGACATCATGGCGGACGCCGATTCTTGGGGTGAGAAATTGTGTAAACTTCACCGTTATATTTCCTTTCTGTCCGTACGAAATCTTATTAATATCTTTTCTCTAATAAAGTGTCGCCTTAAAGCACGGCTGTCACCAAGTAAATCTTAACGCTGTTATTTTCTAGATGCCGATAGTTTCGAGCCCGAAGCTCCCATCAAAAACGCGGCAGTTCTTGACAAATGGGAGGGCGAGGATGAAGACGACGACGTGAAAGTTAGTAACGGATGCATTGTTTGTCATTCACAAATCAAAAATGTGTGTTTATTTCTCAAAAACGTCTCAATCTATCAAGAAGTTACAGTCAGCTAACTCTAGCTAGCTACTCTTGCTAACTCAACAGTGTCAAAACAGCGTGGTGATGGTGAGTCTAAATTTGTGTCCAGTTAGTATTAGCAGCATAGGCGTTCACCTGCTTAAAGACATAGTCCTAATAAATATAATTACTAATTCTATGCTAAAGGTAACTGTTATGTCTTTGCTTACAGTTAGTAATACTGTACTAAGCCTTTTTTTTACAGCAGAACTTAAATGTCATCTGTTGCTTATGTCAAATGATCATGTCAGTAGTCAGCCTTCATAAGAGGATAGGTTGATCTTATTAATGTGGAAGGAAAGATCTCCAGCTAGTCATCATTGTATGTTACCTACCACCATGAACCCTTTTAATTTGTGGGTTGAATGCATCTTTATCTCATGTAGGATAATTGGGATGATGATGAAGAGGAAGAAAAGGAGGAAAAGAAGTCAGGTACGGTGATCTGAATAAATTGGTATTTGGTGAACTGTCAACATTTAGGATAAAATATTGAAGCCTATGTATCTTTACCTCTTGTAATTGGTTATAGCAGTTTTAACTTGTATAGTTATGCGTGTGACTTATTATAGATTCCTCTTGTTCATACTCAATTAATCTGATGATATCAAAACTACAGACATAATTATAAGAGAGAATTACAAAAATGTTTAAAACTGCTTGAAAATTATGCACATATTTACATGCTTATTTTTCAAAGCAGGCTTCAACTGTATTTCAAATTGGAAAGTTTGAGTTTCAATTGTGTATTTTTCATATACAGAGACTGAGGCTAAACCTACGGAAAAGAAGAAACTCAGTGAAAAGATAAAAGAAAGGGAAAATTTAGAAAGAAAAAAACAAGAGGAGCTCAAAAAACAAGTAAGTTCAGACATGGCAGTTTTTCATTTGTTGAATGTTTTCAGTAAAAAGTTATGAATAGTTTAACATTTAATTTACATTGTGTGACTGACAGCTTTTTTTATTTAGAGCATTTTGTAACTGTCCCATTTTTAAATTTTCTTATATACATGCGCTACTGTTAAAAGTTTGAGGCAAGTATAAATAATAATATGTGCAGTATGTTAATGCATTTAATCATCAAGTGACAAAGACATTTATGAAGTTTCAGAATATTCCTATTTCTCAATAAAATCTGTTTTTTTTAACTTTCTATTACTCAAAGAATCATGAAAAAAATGCATCATGGTTTCCACAAAAATTAAGCAGCACAACCGTTTTCAACATTGATAATAATAAGAAATGTTTCTTGAGCATCAAATCGTCATATATTATGATTTCTGAAGAATCATGCGACACTGGATAATGCTGAATAAATGTAATAAAATAGAAAACACTTGTTTTGAATTGAAATAATATTTTACAATATTACTGTACTTTATTTAATAACCATAAACAAAAAAAAATCACAATGACCCCAAACTTTTTAACAGTTGTGTAGATAAATATATATATTATGTTAAAGCGTACCTTTATTAATAGCAAAGTCTCATATATTAAGACTTTCAGTAAGTTTAACTGTAATGTTTTTAACAGTTAGCGTCATCAAAAGACAGCACAGAACTCACACCAGAAGAGGAGCAGGCAGAAAAGCTTAGAGTGAAAAAACTACAGGAGGATTCAGACTTAGAACTAGCAAAAGAGGCATTTGGTAAGTGCTTTCAGTATATCCATATCCACACTTTTACATTTTGAATTTTTAACTTTTAATCTCTTTTGTAGGTGTAGTATCAAATAACGTTTCAGGAATTGACGCGATGAGTCCCTCTTCGAAAGAAGACTTCACAGAGTTTGAGCGGTTGCTAAAAGAAAAAATATCTCCCTATGAGAAGTCTATACACTATTCCAGCTTTTTAGAGACGCTGTTTAGGGACCTGTGTCTTTCATGTAAGTATGCCCCATTTTTGATCGTTTTTCATTTATTCTCAATGTTAATCACGCATGATTCCAATCGGTTTTGCAGTGGAAGTTGAAGACTTGAAGAAAATTAGCAACTCACTGACAGTGTTACTAAGCGAAAAGCAGAAGCAAGAAAAGGTATGAAATCCATTTAATTCCAAAACATTAACTAACTAAACTGTTTATAGATATATATTTACTGTAAAACTTCACAAAGTAGCCCAGGCTTTTATTTTCTCAAATCGTCGAAATGCACTGGCATGTATTTGAGACAGCTGTCTATATGAGACCGGCCTTGATAATTTAGAGTTGAGATTTTGTTCATTGAACATCTCAAATTTGTTCATTATTTTATGTAGCCCTTAATCCTGTAATTGTGGACAAATGTGGGCACAGAGGACTCAGATGTGATCCTAATTTGTATTTATTATAAATGTTATATCACTGTTTTCGATAAAGTTTTTATTATTTTGGGGGTATTTTGAATTTATTTACTTCAAAAAGTACCATATTTTCTTTGTAAGTTATGCTTATTTTTATGTTTTATTTTTTTTAACTACATTAAAATATCATTCCAATAAGTTCTTAGAGCTAAAACCTAAAGATGAAGTGACTTTGCTGTCATCCGGTGTCTTATTTTGGTTTATTTTAGAATGCTCTAAATTACAGTTTTTCCCATTCATTTCTATGGGTGCCCATTTTTGACCCAAATACAAGATTAAGGAGTTTTTTTTTTCACCCACTTAACATTGTAGAATTGAGTAAAGGTGTTCAGGAGGCAAACTTAGTTAAAGTAGCCAAGCCTTGTAGCGCTCAGATCAAGGGAAGTATTTTTTTAAAAAAAATAAATAAACTATTTTGTCTAGAATACAGTTTTAGTGTTAATATCATTCTTTTTTTGTCATAAATATATGTCTTTTTTTATTCAATAGGCAAACAAAGGTAAAAAGAAAAAGAAGGGAGTTATACCAGGAGGAGGTTTTAAAGCCAAGCTGAAAGATGATCTGGCAGACTACGGGGAGTTTGATGGCGGTTATGCACAAGACTACGAGGATTTCATGTGACCAAGGCTTAACCCATTGATAACTTTCGCTGGTTGCTGAACCATACACCTTAACAGCATGACCTTACCCCTCAGTCAGGCCCACTTACCAGAATCATGCTAGGAAACTCTGAACGCCATCCCACGCAATGCACACTCTCCCCCCCCCAAAGAGGTTTATGCAGAGAATGAATTAACTGAGGTATTTTCTCTGTTGTGAATTTAGGTCAATGTTTGTCGGAATAAAAAACCGATGAAACGGGCTCTTCCTTGCAAATGTGATCAATTAATCGTGACAGTCCAGGATTATATGAACGGTGTGTTATTGTTCGGTAACTTCTACTTGGAAATAAATGACATTCTATGCAAATTTCTTTCCGTATTGATCTCCATGTCGTTCGATTCGCTTCGGGCGTTTTCCTTGTTGAATGGGATGTTCCTTTAGGCCGACTAAGACAACCTGAAGTGATGATATCTAAGTAGTCACATGGTTCATAAATCATGTCTACACAATCAAACGATTCATTTTTTTGTTTGTTTGTTTTTGTTCATAGACGATAGTGAGCTCAATTGTTTAGATGAGTAAATCTAGAGTGTAGCATACCTAGTGTAAGCATAATACATCGAAGATAACGCCTTTTCGTTTGTAGCTCGTATTGCATTCCATGTAAAGTCTAAGACCAAAAGTATCAAATGAACCGTTTTGAAGATACATTGCAGCATTATTAGGATTACCTCAATTTTTGCAGAGAAAAATATGTGAATAATTACAAATCTAACTGGTGTTTTCATTGCAGCACGTTATGCAGTTGCTCATTTGACCTCGACCATGCCAGCAAAGAAAGAGCGCGATTCTTCTGCTGATGATGAATAAGGGACTGAAAGTTGACGTAGGGTCTTTTCAGGCGTTGTTTGGCTTTCCATTTTTCTTGAAAACTTAAACAAAGTGTGGTAGACATGCTCTAAAGAGACTTAAGATCAGCAAAGTCGATAATAGGACTCTGCACTGTTTTATAAAGATCTAATTTAATAAAAGTTGCTTATAATTCATCAGTTTTTCTGTCTTTTTTTGTGTCTGTATGTCTGTAACCATTGCACATTGTTTACTGAGGATCTACAGTAGCTCTCTATCGTATCATTTCATTTAATAATTTAAGAAAGCGAGAGTGTTTCTTAAGAACGTCGTCTTTTAATATTGATAATCAGTGAAGCAATTTTGCTAAAATAATTCTCCCTCTAAGAAATGGTAATCAAATGTTAAATATTTTTACAATCATCACAATATCAGGACTTTTTTTTTTTACTTTACGCCCCAAGATACATCAAAATGAATTTTTGTAGAGATATTAAAAACACACTCACCTATGATGCATTTTATACAATTTTGAATAAAGAACAGGTCAAGGTGCCATTTCATTGAATTTATCACTACGTCATTCACAATAATACCAGAAATTCATCTTTCAATAATCTTTTATTATATTTTGCATTCATTTAACATGAAATATTCTTATTAAAATTGCCTTTATACTTTATATATTTGATTTAATCATTCGTTTTATCATCTAATACTTTATTAGCTACACTAATGAACTTTGAGACTGTTTGAAGAACCGTTCTGAAAAATATAAGCCAGACGGAAAGCAGATTTTATTGCGTTGCAGGTTATGAAAACGGTGCACACAGGTCTTCTCAGATAACCTGCCAATGTCCCAATCTTGTCCTTGTTGCTCATGGCCGATTATCTTGATCACACCATGAATTGCACCCTCCGCTATTGGTCATGTGACCTGTGCACAAAGGGTCCAGTCTTTTCCCCTTATTCCGACTTACTGGTTTTCAGACAAAAGGAAAACAACAGAGTGATTGTAAAGATAAGACTTGGGGATAATTAACAGCAAATCCAGGCTTAAAAAAGCAATTCCCCATCATCCATTGGTTGTGAAGAAGGGAGGAGGTTCGTTGATGTGAGGTTGAATCAGGTGTGTGTGGTCATAAAATGTGGTCTCGGTTGTGAGGGCCGTTATATAAAAGGGGCGCACCGATCAAGCCGACCCATCTCGAAACGTGAAGTCCAACCATGAGTCCATGCGTCTTCCCAATCTTGGTCGTTTTGTGGCTGGTAATGGCTGTGGAAATGGCCACCTCAGAGGGCCAGCAGATCCTCCAAGCCTTGCACTGTCCGCCCTGCGAACGCATTCACTGTTCCCCTCGAAGAGCGCTGAAGCTCCAGTGTCAGGGTGGGATAACCACTGGGATTTGCGGTTGTTGTCCAGCCTGTGCCAAACTCGCAGGAGAAAGCTGTGGAGGCACCTGGGACTACCTGGGGAAGTGCGACGAAGGGCTGGTTTGCGTTTACCAAGAAGCTACAGATGGAAAACCAGAGGCGGAACGCAAGGGAACCTGCAAATCAGGTACCGCCGAAGCTGGAGGAGATGCCAAGTCACCCTGCCAGCATGTTGCATAGAGTCCTAAAGGGTCTAAATTATAGTCCAAAGTTGGTTCTTGAGTTCAGGTTTCTCATGGTCATGGACAACAGGCCTGACAAGTCATGGAAATTAATATATTCGTGGACAAATTCATTTTTATAGTGAATTTAAAGTGATTTATTAGTGGAACAGTCATGGTTATATGTTGGACAAAAGAAGTGAGAAGCCTGTGAATTATACAAAAGCAAATATGAAGTTTTCATACGAGTCCACTGAAGAGCCACAAAAGGGTTTCTAGGGGGTCTGCAGAAATTTTCAGAGAAAAAAATAATACTTATATTACTTTTAAACATAACCTTATTAAAATTATTGTATTTTATTCTATCGATATTCATAGTTTCATACAAACACACAATATATATATAGTATCTCACTGATATACTATTATAATTTGGTTTTTTGTATTTTTTTAAACTTGTTATTTTTGAATATATTTATACAGTTTTTATTAGGTTTTAATTAAATCTAGTACTGAAGTTAAAATAAAATGTTGCATTCATCTATCTGACATGATATAGTAAAATGTATGAAAATGAATTAAAAAATAAATTTAATTGACAATATTTCTATTTTGCTATATGTCTACATAGTTTCATATTTTATTAATTTCTTTTGCTTGTAATATAACAAAGACAATATATAGATGTATCTCACTGATACACTATTATAATTTGTGTTATTTTAAATTAGATTTGTTTTTTTTATATATATATATATATATATATATATATATATATATATATATATCATTTTTAATTAAATTTTAGTTATTTTCTTACTTCAACTTAAGCTAACATAATATGTTACATACATCTTTAAAATATATAAAAATATTTAAATTTTGCAATACATCTACATAGTTTAATATTTTATTAATTTCTTTTGGTTGTAATATAACAATATAAAAGCCAATCATTTAATTTTGAAAACATTTTGTCTTTATAATACCATACTTACATTTTTTTTCCTCGCATAATTTTGCTAATACAGTATAAACTGAACTTTATGTATTAAACTATTTGGCTGCCTTTATTTTTCCCTATAGCGATCATCATCATATTTGGGGGATCTTGCCATCTAAAAGTATGAAAACCCCTGTGCTACAATCCCATCATGCAAAATGTGCATGATGGGATTGTATGTTTTAACTTTAAATTCAGGTCCACACTCTTGAAAAAAAAGAAAAGAAAACGGCATCATCAAGGTTAATGTCATTTATAAACTGTGACGAGAGATATGGCAGTCTAGGATTCCTTTGATCTCGGAGCACTTCCCCATAAAAGCAAAGCTCTTATTGTTCTTATCTACACAGTGATGAAATCCACAACCTTTCCTGAAGAACTGCATCCGTATTGTAACGGGATTCCATCAATTTTATTGTCTGTTTTTTTTTTCTTTGACCTGAAGAACAATATTTCACAATATTGCCAGGTCAAAAAAATAAAAAGTTGTTGTTCGGATTTAAAAATGCAAATGCTTAAGAGTCTATGATTGGATTGTGATTATTATGTTTCTAGCATTTTATATGTTTGGCAACCATTCTGACCCTAATTGATGGAGTGTGTAGCTTTTCATTTCTTAAACAACCATCTAGATGTTGATATGACCTCATGTAAAGATTCATCAAGCTCAAATTGTGAACGAATGGTTCTGTGAGAGAGCATGAAGAATCATTTTCACACATGAATTGGCACCAGACCTTGAATTCAGTGAAGGTCTTTGGGATGTGCTGGAGGAGACTATACAGAGTGCTGGACTCTTGCATTGACAACACAAGAAACCACACATTTATTTTTTCCTTATTGCTAATTTTCAAAGCATTTTGGATTTGTACTTCCCAACAGTGTTTGAGGTTCTCAAAGCAGACGCTTGCAGACCGGAGTGCACATGGGAGTTCTGCAAGGCCAATCCCAATGAAATCTGCTCAGCAAGGTGACTTCTGCTTCGATTTTTCTATTTGAATCGTCTTAAAGTTTGTATTTAAGGATTGTGGGTAACGTCACTTCTCTTTGAGTTTGAAGTGAGATCCCAAACAAACCAAGCTAGCTCGCCCCTCCCTCCCGTTTCGTGCATCATGAAAAAAAGATCATGCACGCGCATTTCTTAACCCTAAAACCGTATTCTGGACAAATGTGGGCAAAATAGTTTTGATTTATTTTTTTTAAATACTTCCCTTGATCTGAGCGGTACAAATTGGCTACTTTTCCTAAGTTTGCCTCCAAAACACGCACAATTTTGTATGACTCAATTCTACAATAACCTATCCCGTTGCAGGTCTGTATCGCTGGAAAAGCGTGAGTGTGGAGGTCACTGCCAGCACACAACCTGCTCCAGCTGCTTGGTTCTCAGACCTCCATCTTGTGCTCAGTCCTGTTCCCCAACAGACCACGTCTGCATGCATCGCTTCGGAAGGTGTGTGCGCGGTCATATGATCAAAGAAACACATCCACCTGCCTGCCACCAAAACCTACAGGTCAGTTTTACTCCTGTGTTGCTCTTTTTTTTTTGACAAAGATGAAATGTTTATTTCTATGATGATTACCATGTTGTTTCTTGTAGCCCTCAAACCGTATTCACGTTATAGCCCTTAATCCTGTAGTTGTGGACAAATGTGGGCACAGAGGACTTTATTTATTATGAATGTTATATCACTGTCTTCGATAAAGTTTTGTCTATCCATTTATGGTCCTTTATTAAATTTTGGGGGTATTTTTGAATTTATTTACTTCAAAAAGTACCATATTTTCTATGTAAATTATTTCAATGTAAATTAATTACTATGTAGTTTTATTTTTATATTTTTTTTAACAACATTAAAATATCATTCCAATAAGTTCTTAGAGCTAAAACCTAAAGATTAAGTGACTTTGCTGTCACCTGGTGTCTTATTTTGGCTTATTTTAGTATGCTCTAAATTACAGTTTTTCCCATTCATTTCTATGGGTGCCCATTTTTGACCCAAATACAAAATTAAGGAGTTTTTCACGTACTTAACATTGTATAATTGAGTCAAAAAAATTGTGTTCAGGAGGCAAACTTAGGAAAAGTAGCCAAGTCTTGTACCGCTCAGATCAAGGGAAGTATTTTTTAAAAATAAATCAAAACTATTTTGCTCACATTTGTCCAGAATACGGTTTTAGGGTTAATTAAAACAAAATGCTTTTATGAAACTATACTTTGGGGCCATAGTAAAGACACATTACTTTAATCTTATATTAAAGGGGTTACATGTAGAATTCAGAAAGCCTTGTTATATAGCGACACCAGTGGAAATAAAGTGAACTGCAGACAGCAACTCACTGCTCGCACTCGTAACGCACAAGAGACTGAACGTGACTCAAGGCCCTGATACTCACGTTGAAGCTCTTTTTTGTTCTTCGCTAAGGGGTAAAAAGACGTTTGTTTAGTTCGACTTTTATTTTGAAGGCGCGGCGGACATTTCTGGAGTAAATATATAGACTATAATCTGAGTATCCGTGTTTTTGTTTTTTTGCTTTATACGGCGGCTGCTAGTCTTTCACGTGCGTTCGGCCAATCAGTGTACAGTTACCTCACTGATAGTTCCTATAGCGCTGGTTTAGACCCGACTCTGAAGTAGGAGCTCATTTAGTTCCCCCAAAAGAGTTACTAGAACTAAAATCGTTCCCAATTCCTGCACTGCGAACTTGAAGAAAAGTCAAGTTGAAGTATGAAAGGTTCCTCCGGTGCGAAAGCCCCTTATTAGTTTGAATTAATCGCTTTTGTTTGCATGACACATTGACATTACAGTACAGAAAGGCTCTTTCGGCATTATCCTGAACATTGTATAAGCATTTGTTTCATATGTCAGAGAATGTAAAGGATAGACTCGGGAGAGTAACGTCACATCCTTTTGATTTTCTTGGCAAAAACGTCCCGTGCCCTTCACATTAAAAAGTGAATTTAGAAATCATTGAAATCATTTTTATAGACAACCTGGGAAGTCAGGGAAGGTCTTGTTTTCTTAAGTTTCGTTACAAGCTGTTCACACATTGGCAAAAAATAATAATAAATTGATACAATTCCCTTTTTAAATAATAATTATATTAAAATAATAATATATCTATATATAACAAACACACAACATTCTGTTCTATTGATCATATTTGTAATTATCTGTTGTTTTATTACAGTATATATATATATTCTAGTGTATATATTTATGTTATTATAATATTTGTATGTAAATTATGTATAATTACTTTTCTATTCTTTTAACAGAGTACGTCTGAGGGATTCTTTGTGTGTTTGGCTCCTGCCTGTCCAACTGCAGAAAACTGATTCAACATTTCAAGAGGAGCTCAAATAATGCAATCCAGTTATAAAATGTAGCACAAAAGGCAGCTATTTTTATTAATGCATGTCATTACTATTTTTTAATATGTTATAATATAAATCAATAATAAAATGTGTGATTTATAAATGTGCATTAATGTTGTACAGCTCTTTTATATTGTTAAATACAAATTAAAAAAACTGTGTTGTCAACATGAAAAACCATTTAAAATCTATGGGCTACAATAATATTTTTGTCATTAAATTATTATTTTTTTTTTTTTTTGTTTCATAAAAGGGACTAACCTTTAGGGAAGTGACCGTTTAGGAAAAGTGCCCACCGTAGACACGTTCCCACCCCTGTCTGGCTTGTTACTCAATAACAATATATTTATGAGTGTGCAATTAGACATCTATCCATGAGCCAGAACAGATCTACCTCTTCACAATTCTTTTGATGTCTATCTTATATAAAGCTGCATCAAGAAAAGAAATTTTAATTAAGTGATAACACATTGGCATTAAATAAATACTGTTCATACGTTTATAATATGCTTCAATGTTCTAAACCTGAAAAACAACACGTCACGTGACATAAGTATGTATTTTAATGAATAAACAGTATTTTATGATATCAACAGTAATTTAAATATATACATTTAACTAATTTTATGCAAGAGAAAGTAAGTACCACTTTAAAAAAAATGTAATAAAAATTCCGGTGCACACAAATGTACGGACGCCCTGAACCACAAAGTAAAAAAATATAATAAATCTAGCATTTCGAGATTAAAGCGGAAATATTTTGAGATTAAAGTGGAAATATTTTGAGATTAAAGCAGAAATATTTTTAGATTAAAGTCGAAATATTTAGAGATTATAGCCAAAATATTTCGAGATTATAGCCTCGAGATTAAAGCCAAAATATTTAGAGATTATAGCCGAAATATTTAGAGATTATAGCCAAAATATTTCAAGATTATAGCCGAAATATTTCAAGAGCATAGCCGAAATATTTTCGAAATTATTGCCGAAATATTTTGAGATTATAACCGGAATATTTTGAGATTATAGCCGAAATATTTAAAAAATTATTGACGAAATATTTCGAGATCATAGCCAAAATATTTCGAGATCACAGCCGAAATATTTCAACATTATATCTGAAATATTTCGAGATTATAGCCAAAATATTTCGAGAATAAAGTCATAATATTTCGAAAAAAGTAAAAATTCTGAGAATAGTCTTACATAGAAGTTCTTCTTCGTTTATTTTTTTGTAAAGAAATGCGCTCGTGAAGTCGTACTGCTATGAAATGGATCTAAATAGTAGCTTTTTACATTTATCAAACAAAAAGAAATTCTACAGGTGCTAATGATTTTTTTTTTTTTACGTTGCGGTTCAGGGCTTCCGTACAAATGAGTCTCCGCTCCTCAAGATGAAAAACATGCCGCTTTTGTTATCGCTCAAATTTTACTGCATTTGTTTTTGACTGATAAAAACAAGCCAGACAAAACGTGTGTGCCAAGAGCCATAAACTACAACAACAGCCAGTTTACTAATGCATTTCACTCCGTCCCTTACGAAACACACTGTAATCCCGTTGCACTATTTAATTTAAATCATTTCACAGTTCAGATCCTCTGAATTATTCAAGTTGAAGACATTTATGCAATATCAAGACTAATTTTCATTACAGTTTTAATGATACTGACCAACATAACATGGGTTTTCTGCATAGTTGATTTGATCGAGACAGTACAATAGCCTAGCATCATGAAAACTTATATATTTGCCTCAAAACTATTATAAAAAAAGCACACAGATCTCCCTACATGATTATTTTCATTAATATAAGCGTCTTGATCATTTGGTTGTAACTAGTGTAGCGAATCCTTTCAAAAAGTTAAAACAGGCTACATGCTAACATGTAACATTCCCGGTGGCTAACATTAGTGCTCATTCTGCAGGTTTACTTCTGACAGATGCACAGTGTTTATGGAAATCTACGTAAAGTAAAGAAAATGAAGGATAGCGTGTAAAAATCAAGTGATACGTGGAGGAATGTCGTGTTGAGCGGATAAAATAGTTCCTGAGTCTTTCCCCCCTCTTTCATGATAGTCTTTTGTGAGTAAAAGGCACTTTGGACGAGAGCGTTTATGTGATGTGAGCAGTCTGGGTTACCGGAACATTCTGTGCCAGTAGGACTGAAAAGCGGACGAGTTGAAGGCACCGATGAATACGAGGAGCAGGATATAGAGGCCCATCATGATGGCAAAATGATGTCTGACGAGCCACGACCTCCCTTGAGCATGTCTGGAATCAGAGCAGAACATCCTTTTAGAGAGCTAGTTCATTTAACCAGTAGAAAACAACACAAATTCTTAAGTCTTTAAAGGTTCAAAAGTATCCTAAAAGTGGTCCATATGACTAACTCACACTTTTGAAGTCATTCTAGGCCTGGTTTAAAAATACTGATTCTAGATTTTAATTGATTCTCATTTTGGCCCTGTTTACACCTGGTATTAAGATGTGTTTTGGTCGATCGGATCACAAATAGACGAGGGAGACACACACATTTACACTTGGTGTTTAATCCATCTCTTTTGTCCACTTTCAACCACTTCTGTCCTGATTTCTTCTATGGGAGGGTAAATCTATGGGTTTTTTCCAGATCTTTCTAAATAAGCTCCTGCAATTTACATACATGAATGGGCCCGGAGACGACGGAAAATCATACAAAGAGCATCAGCTTTCGTTTCAGCTCTGACAGTCGTAAGATGACAGTGTGAGTGTGTGTTAGAAATGAGGAAAGGTGAGAAAACATTGTGCTTGGTACTTTTTTCGTCTTCAAACCAAACTTTGGTCTTCAGTCGACAAAGTTTAAATCCCGTCTGGCTCGCGAACTTCTCACAATGTTTACACTGTCATTAGGTCGGTAGGATGAGAGTACCGTGGCTGTTTAAAAGCATTCGACCACATGAGTGTTTACACTATGAAAGCAATCCGTTCGAATGTGTTTTTGACTACCTCTGGAAGTAGTTGAAAGTAGACAAGCTCAAAACGTTTAGGCCCTGTTTACGTCTACTTGTGATTAGGCATGCACCGATATGAACATTTTGGCCGATACCGATAACCGATAATTCTTTATACTTGAAAGCCGATAACCGATATATTGGCCGATAAACCTAAATCCAAATTTTTATTTCATTTTTGAGAGTTTGATTACAAAAACAAAAGTCTCACCATTAAAATCCATAACCCAATCACATCATATATTTTACATGGACTATATGACAGACTTGTGCTGCACTAAACTGTATTTTCATTTTTTGTCCAATCACATTTCAAGCAATTCCAAACCATCATGTTGAACAGTGCATCTGAAGCATCTCAGCTGAAGGAAATAATACATTAATTATCAGCTTTAATATATCGGCCTAATTTTCTTATCAGGCCGATAACGATAACACTAAAAATTAACATATATCGGCCGATACCGATATGGCGGCCAATATATCGTGCATCACTACTTTGATCGAATTGACAAAAATGCATCTAAATACTCAATTAGAAGAACCGAAATCGAATTTTAATCTTTCTAATATCAATCTTTCGGTCTATGCTGTTGATTGTATCTTGCCTCCCATCCAATGATTCTCAGTAATCTTTGTGCATTGTTACTCCTGACATTAAACCAAGTCTCAGCTTCTAAATTCGATAAAGCGAAGCGCACGTGAACTGATCATCTCTTCCGCTTTATTGTGAAAAAAACGTGTCAGGTACATTGCTCAAACAACACTTCTCCATTTGTGTTCCATAGAGGAACAAATTAAGACTATAAATTATGAAAGTCCTGCAAAGAAAGTGTTTATATAAAGCGTGTCATCTACTGAGATGCACCAATCGTGTCCATGTGAATGAGGACGTCTCACCGTGATCTGTAGCGTCTCTGAGAATACACCATCAGGTATTTCACTCTCAAAAGCTCGTTGTTGGTCACCACAAAGTACTTCTCGGGCACCTCGCCACCTTCACTGTTCCTGGCCCTCAGACGCTGGCGGTCAATGCTCTCGGAGTCTGAAACACAAAGGCAGAGCTGAATTTTAGATATCTTCAGGGATGGTAATTATCATAATGGATGGTCATTTTTTTGCAAAACTGGAATAAAAATCAAATCAGTGTTTGCTTTTATTTTGCTGACAAGAATGTTGCACATGCTGTATTGTGAATAAGTCACGTCTGAAGGGGTTGCACAACGCCCAGCACAGTCTCTCGTACCTTATTGCTTACATAATAAGTAAGGGGTAAGATGTGCCAAACTACGTATAATTTGTCACGTGATTATATATATATATTTAAAAAAGGGCCAATCAGACAGAGGTGACTTCATATTTATTATGCGTTTCATTTTTAATTTAGGGGGGAAAAAGCATAACAGCAATAACATAAAACATAATTATTGACTTTCAGTATTGGCCCGAATTATAATTTTTTCATGAATATTAAAACTTTTTCTCACTGGTTTATACAAATATAAACAATAATAAGAGAGGACTTTGTGATTTATACACTTATCTATATTTTATTGCCAACAGGACTACTTAATAAATGGCTCATCTTACCCCACACACCTCTATACTGCAAAATACACAAGTACTCCATTACAAACACAATCATAGTATCCGTAGTGTTATTCGAACACGGGAATGGCTCACAGATCTGAAAAGTTTGATTTATGAAGATTAACAATGAGCACATTAAATTGATAAAAAGTGACTTGAGCAACAAATCAGCATGCTAGAATGACTTCAAAAGGATCATGTGACACTGAAGACTGGAACAATGAATAAATGTGTGTGTGTGATATATACATATATATTTAATTGAATCAATATTTCACAATATTACTGTTTTAACTATATATTTTTAATCAAATAGGCTAAATTCAGCCTTGGTGAGCAGCAGACACTTCTTTCAAAACCATTAAACAATCTTAAAGGGAGAGTTCAATTTGAAATTAATTTCTCACACAAACCGCTCATTTAGTGTCTTAGGCCATCAATGTGTACTTACATTTACGAGTCATTAAATCATGTTAAATCTGGACTTCTCTGTGCATGCTCTTTGAGGTGGTGACCATAGACCTCCATTATATGACTGATAGACAAGAACAGTTTGACCTAAAAATATCAAAATTGAAAATACTGTGGAAACAAAGACACCAACATCTTGGATGCCCTTGAGGTAAGCTAAAACATATCAAAAATTAATTTCAAAGTGAACTATCCCTTTAACACCCCCAAACTTTTGAACATTAATGTGTTCAGCTGTTCATCTGACACATTACCTTTCTTCTTGACCTGACACTTCACATCAGGATGATCGATGATTTCACACAAGGCGACGCAGCTGATCAGAGGCCCGAGGACGCTTTCCCTCCACCCGTTCCCATGAGGACTGTAAAGGATGGCCATGCTGAGGTCACTGGTCAGGTATGTACCCTCCCCAAACAGTGAGGTCTGAAATATCAAATCATAATCAGAGATTAAATGGCTTACTGTGCTGAACCAATGAGCAGATAACATTGTAGTTATAATTATCATCTTCACACATATTATCTAAACATGAACTGATAAGGGACAGTCAAACACATCTGTCGCGTAATTATTTGTAGTCCTCTATGATAATAACCAAAGAATGATTGCCTGGATAGCATCCAAAACGAGTATAAATTGAGCATCATCCTCCAACGCATGCTGACCTTGTTCAGGTGACAGTGTAATCCGTTGTGTATGATGGAGTGGAAGTTCTCCAGTCTGCTGCCGTGGAATGCATAGATGAGATCTCGTCCAGCCCGCGTCCTCTCAAACTTGGAGTTGAGCAAATCACAGTACTGCAGTTCGAAGAGGAAGTCTGGGGCTGGAGCTGAAATACCCTCGCTTTGGGTAAGCTGGCTGAGTCTGGCAAACTGAAGGAGTGAGAATGAACACCAGTGAACATGCAGGGATGTGCAAAACTAATGTCTCAATAACTAGTCCAGAATACCAGGACCGAAAATTATGTTTTGTTCTGTTTTTATTTAACGATTTGTACATTATTTGGCAGATGCAAATTGAAAACCGAACTAAAAGGACTCATATGAATCTTATTAGTGAATCTAAAAAGCAGTTTAACCAATGTAGTCTGATTTGTGAGCAAATGACTCCTATGAGCTGGTTCTTTTTACAGAATCATAAACATACAGTGTGACTGTGACCAGTCAGTGCAGTCTGAACTAATGACTCTTATGAACCGGTTCTTTTTGTGGATCAGAAACATGGATTGGTTGTAGTGTTTTTTTCTTTTCGCAAATGAATAATTATCATGAGCTGGTTCTTTTTTTGTCATTTACAAATATATGGTGCAGCCAGTGTAGTCTGAACTAATGATTCTTATGAGCAAATTCGATTTAATGAATCAGAAACATAGAGGTCCATCACTGAACTAATGATTCTTATGAGCCGGTTCTTTTTAGTGAATCACAAAGATAAAAGTGACCAGTGTAGTCTGAGCCAATGATTCTTAGCCGGTTCTTTTCAATGAAACGGAAACATAGAGCTCCATCACTGAACAAATGATTCTTAGTGAATCACAAATATAGAGTGCTTCTAGGATTGATTCATACTGAACAAATAATTTTAATGAGTTGGGAAATAATGGCTTACGAATCAGTTATTTTTACTGTTGAAATAATTTCATTAAAAAATTATTTGTATCGTTTTGTTGCATTTTTTCAGTTGAAATCTGAACAAATACACACTGCATTTCTTTCTTTCATCTTTTTCCCTAAAACATTTCATCCTTAAAAGAATTAAGAGAACTCTTTATAGAATCATTACAAGGAATCAGAATCCGATTCGTCTGCCAAATGAAAAGACCTAAATGAAGATTAGCAATACCTCCTCTTTCTGCAGGGTCTTCACAGCAAAACTCTTAGAGGACAGAACCCAGTGCACGAGAGCCAGATGATGATCTCCATCACCATGTCCAAGACGCACCAGATCCCTCACGTTTGGTAAAGTATCCACATCTTTTTGCTGTGAGGAACATAGTAGAATCAAAATCATAAAATACGTCTGTTTGGGAAAGCCAACAAAACGGAGAGCTCAATTTCTTCAAACGTCTTACCAGATCTTCAAAGTCCTTGATCTCTCCTCGAAGGTAGCGAGGAGGGAAAGGTCTGAGCGCCGAGTCGCGTTTGTAGCTCTGGACGGCGGCCACGAAGAGACTGCAGCGCAGGTCCGCCGCTACTGGGTCTCGATGCAGACAGGAGCAAACCAGCTCTCTGACCGCAGCTGTGGGGAGAGGCGGCTGCATTCCCAACACTACAACACATTTAACATACCAATAAACTCTAAGAAGAGAGATTCATTCATGCAAAACATTAACATTTTTAACAGAAGAACATAATCAGATGAACTTGCTTGACACGTGAGGACAAGCCTCTTGCTGAAGCCCAAAGGTGCTGCGTAACACGAGAATGAACGTCATGTTCTCGGATATCAAGAACATGCATGAGACTCCATTTACCCCCGACTGATGTGTGTTGATGAATGTTTATATGTGAATAAAAACCTAAATTCATCATTTAAACCGTTTCTGTATTGAGACAATTTGAGCTAAACCGCTTTTAAACCGTTTTACGATCTATTTATTAACTTTTTAAAGCGTCAAAATGGCGTAGTGGTCAACGGTATGACAGAAAACTATTAGATTTGATCAAAAACATTTGAAGATGAACAAAAGTCTTACGGGTTCGGAACAACATAATCATTATATTTGTAAATTCACTGTGATAATTCAATAATAATAATTATATATTTCCTTTACATGTTTTGTATAGTTACCACCTTGTGATAATTCTAAAAATGTAACTTAGTTAACAAAATGAAGAATGAAATTAATTCAAAGAATTAAATGAGTGCTTAATTAAAACATAAAATAGCTTAGCTAGCAGATTAGCTCGCTGCTAATAGCTAACAGCTATTGAAAGCCAAGCCAAACCATAATATAAACGTGTCTATCATTTGCACTTGGACTTCTAGTACTCGAAAGTGTGTTAAGGGTTTCATGCAACAGTTCGTTTATAGTCTCTGCTGACTTTGTATACATGTTAACCATGTTAGCCGGTTAGCTCAGCTAATCATCTCATTACTGGAGAAATTCACTCAAGCTTCAAGACCAAAACGATCACTCATCGAGTAACAATCACTCTACCTGTAAATACATAAATATATATTTCAAACATTTGCCATACACATATGTATCTTACCTTATGTGCCTGAAGTTCAGGCATCTGACAGGTACCGGAAGCAAACGTGAGTAGTATGAAGCTGCAGACTCGGAGACCTGCATTTACAGTCCCCCTGCACCCAGAGTCCCGCATTCTCAGACCCCTCGTTTTTCGAGACAGCGCCTCCTATCAAATTGTATCGGATAAACATGTGAAGAACTTAAGCCAAAACATGAGTAGTAGATAAATAAAATCTTCAATTTTATTTAGCGATTCGTAGTAGACTACTCGTTTGATTTATTTTGTTAATAAAACTAATTTAGCTCATCGATACAACATATGAATAATATTTGTAAAGATAGTTTGAAACAAGATTTGAGCCGTTATTGTATGTTTTTTTCGCCCTCTTCTCCCCGAAAATATTTAGATAGCGTATTTTTACGTTAGCCTTTAACCTTGGACTTTTTGTAGAAATGTCTTAAATGCTGCAGTTATTTTCACTGCCCATTTTGTGCCCCCATATATTTCAAACCCACAAAGTTGTCCAAAGTTCAAAAACATCTCAAGGGACACTTCAACAGAGCAGTGCAACATGGTAACTAACATTTGCAAACATTTTTTCTTTTTTTTCTTTCTTTCTTTTTGAAACATCATAAGACATGTGCTATCGGTCCTATGTTACCCCTGCCGAATCCAGCAACATATCATTTTATGATTATGCAAAGGGACTTATTAATGAGTTTTTTTAATGCAATTGAAGACGAAAAGTAAAGTCAAAACACTGTTTTTTCTTCCTTTTTTCTTTACAGCAAGATGATGTTTAGGTGATCATTAAATAAAGTACAGGATTGTTTATTATTGGTGTTTTGTCTATTCTGATTTGTTTTGCTTCGCATTCAAAATATCAAAAAACAGATATTGTAGCCTAATGTTAGCATGGTAATGTTAAATTAGACCATTATAGGTTTAACTGAAAGAAAAATTGGAATTTGAATAAAAAAATATAATAAAGAAGATAGTTCTTTAGATAAGATAGTTTCTTTTCTGAAGATAGTTCAATCTGCTAATTGTATCCCTTCCATCAGTAACAATTAGGTTGTTGTTGTTTTTTTGACACATGCATTAAGCAGGGAACACAAATATTTATTGGATAATTTATTTGAAGACCGTAATATTGCATCCTATTGTTTTTAATTGCATTTGGATAATGCGCTGTACTCTGTGTGCGGGTGTTATTCGATCTTTTGAACAGCAGGAGGCGCTGTGTTCGAAAAACGAGGGGTCTGAGAATGCGGGACTCTCGTTGGGGGACTGTAGATGCAGGCTCCGAGTCTGCAGCTTCATAATATTGCCAAGAACTGCAGGAGCCACAGCGACAGACTCCACCAGCAGAGGGCGCCATACACTGAGAGCCAATGGAAAACAGCTGCTTCTTCTTGTTTAATGACGAGCCACTCTTTAGCACTGTCGCCACCATGGTGGCAACCTACTGTACTGGAGAGCAAACCGTATTTCTTCCACGAGTGATGATTGAAATCTTGATGATGATTGGTTCTTTAGAACCGTCTGTAAACATTTGAAAACTGAATAAAATTTGTGATTTTAACTAGCCACCTCGTATCCAATATCTTTGGACTTACAGTAGCCTAAGCTCAAATCTATGAGAAATTCTGGGACTCTCAGTGGTGAGAGTAATAAGACTGAGTCACATCTTCTCCTCCCATAACTGTATCCCCCATCATATGAATATTCCCACCAGCAATACTCCAATACTTTGCGAGTATGATTATGTGCTGATCCTTGAAGATTTACCATACATCCCTGCCAGTTTTTCCCTTTATAACATCTAAAGGCATCCACCCTTTCCCTTCTGCTATGTACATGGTCGATAATAATCGCTACGAATTACTATATAATAATTTTTCAAGAATTAGGTTAAAAATATAGTCGCTACGAATAAACGCACGTTTGTTATATTCGCTATACATAAATGGTTTAGAATAATCACCACAAAGCTTTTATTTTACGTTTGAATCGCTCTTTATTCTAACCCATTTGCGTCTGCAGGGGAAATGAAAAACATCTCTGAATGGAGTGAACTGTAAGTGATTCGTGAAGAAGGACTGTTGTTAAATTTTTAAGTACAGCCAACTTGGATGTTTAGGCCATTCCAACTTAAATTACATTCAACTGACTTAAGAAAAATTAGTTGAATCTTGCTTAACTTATTGTGATGAGTTAAAGCAATGCAGCAACAACTTATTGATCATATAATATTTTTTTTCAGTGAACCCTCCACAATATAAATGTATTCAAACACTATTTAATGTATCTCTTTGTGATAATGATGCCCAGATCTATTGTCTTACTTTATCTAAAATCTATTGACCTAAAAATCTGTCTTTCTTTTTCTTTTGCCATCAAGAAATTCCAGATACAACATGGATTTCAAGTGTAGATACTGATACTTTAGATGTGAGAAGCATTTTAGAGCATGTATTGTGTTACTAGAAGTGTTTTCTCATTTCATTTTAACGTTACAAAGCGCTGAGTATTATTGCCAGAGGAATCTTAGAGATCAATTATGTATGGGAAAGCTAGGTCAGCGTTTGGCTGAGGGAAAGGCATCTGAAAAAAGTCTAGGCCAAAGATAACTGGCTGCCACATTGGGAGGTAGCCAATGAGAATTGAGTGATTCATTAGGATTTTTACATTTCAACAAAGTCCGCCACTGCATTTGACTTTAGCTAAAATGTGGTGGCATATTACTGGGGTAAAGAGGCCAGCTGAAACATATAGCTATACCTACTATGGTAGTCAATGAGACCAGAAATTGTCTGGTTCCTGATATTCTTCTAAATATCAGAAAAACAACTAAATGGATTCGAAAACGGTAAAACTCGACTGTTTAACTCTGGGGGAGTTGTAAAATGAGCCTATTTCCAAAAAAAGTGGAGTATCCCTTTAAGACCTGTCTACGTGACTGTGGCGGATGTTGGTGAGCCTGGGTCAGGTCAGTTTGAGTTTTAATTTGTTTACGGTAAAGAATACACAACAACATTATTTTGGTTTAATACACTTTATTTAAACTTTCGTTTGGAGTTAAGTGCGCACTCTCTTTAGCGTTTAGTTTAAGTTTATTCTTACCGGGTTTTTTTTGTTTGTTTGTTTGTTTGTTTGATACGTCAGGGTCAGAGTCCCGTGAGCTGGTGCACCATCAAAAGGGGTTCGCGGGGAAATATTGGACGTATTTATATGGTTCCGCCCGATGATCGGGCCACAACGGGCCACAACCATTCCGGTTACTTCTCCGGGGTAACTCCAGGGACTATTTTGGTTGCTTTTATAAGAAGGATATTTATTAAGAGAAGTAATTTGATAGTATTCTTTGAGGTGTTTGTTTATGTATATTGGGTGTTTTCATATTCGTTTATAGTGTGTAATGGCCATTATATGTCTGTGTATTCCCCTTTATGTGTTAATTGGTGCTGGCCACTAAGGTATACATTTGTCATCCGTTTACTTAACATTTTTTTGTATTCATAAAATGGTTAAGTTGTACTCTTTTGTTCTCTTGTGTTGGAGAAGGGCAACACATTCATCTCCATTCACACACGTAACTTTATTCGGGTTCAGATCGATCAATTAGCTTGGATTCTTGTTGTATTTACTCTCTTCAACTTGTATAGCTACTCAGATCTTGTCGAACAGCATTTATTGCTATTTAATTGTACTTTTACTCACATTTCACTTGAATTAAATCTTTTTATTTTAATATTTCTTTTAAATTGTATTTCTTTTATAAAATTTGGTTATGATTTCATTACTTATCCACATTGAGAATTTGATCCAAATGCAGTGTAAAATGTTAATTGACAAAAAATAATTAAAGTACATCCAGGCATTGGGAAAAAGTAAATGCAAACACGGGGTGCAAAAAACCAAAAACAATTGAAACCGATGAATGTGTCACATCAATAAAGGATAACACAGATACTGAACAGGGGAAACCCAAATAGCCATGAACACATACCTTTTACACATAAATAATGTTTTTGCTTAGCCCTAAGTCTATTGACTTTGCATCAGTACCGCGGAGAGCAGCCACACACACATCTCTTGACCAGCGAGTGAAAAATGAAATATCGCGAGTGTAGAGTGCTCACACACACACACACACACACACACACACACACCAGCTGATTTATTCAGCATCACACACACTCATCTCATCCCTCGCGAAACGGATGCTCGTCGACGCGCTTGCGTGCGTATGTGTGTGTAGGAGTACCGTGACGAGATTGTTTTCACTCCCATTTTCTTATTATCATCTCATAATATACCGGATTTGGAAGACATCTCCATCACAAGTGCATCGATCGTTGAATGGAAAGCGGTTTAGTAGATGCAACTGAGCGCGTGCATTGGAATTCTTGATTGAACGCGAGAGAAGGTAGGAAGGGAACGGGTTTCCGCCTTTTTTCGCTTTCTTACCTTTGAATTTTACATCTATGTACCCTGAACACATTTATATGTCTTACGTGCCAGGGAAAAGCAGAAATGGATGCAGTCTTAGCTTGCACTGTTGAATAAAACACCTCCCCGTTCAGCTCCATCTTTTCCCTTGAAGGGCGCTGTGCTCGACCTCTTTACCGCTCTCAAATGAATAAAAATGTGTTCGCAAAATATTCTCTTGCTCTTGTTTTCTCCTTACATTTTAATCTTGCGTTTTATAACAACATTTATCATTTGGATTTATGAAATATAACGTTAGGACAACTAGATTATCTTTTCATATCTGTATTCCACCACAGCGACATGCCCTTCACTTTGCAACTGGGTTTGGCTAGAATCGAGCGAGGAAAAGCTACATTAATCGGTCAAAAATAATCGCTACAAATAAATGGTTGATAATAATCGCTACCAAAAAATGGTACATCATAACTTATAAAGAATTAGGTTAAAATATAGTCGCTAGGAATAAACGTTTGTAAATATTCGCTACAAATAAACGGTTTCGAATAATCGCTATGAAACGATTCTTTTAGGTTCGCAATTAATCGTTCTCATTCTTCATTCTAACACTCGTTGTGTCCAGCTGTATGGACGGAGTCCAAAAAAAAAGGATGATTCAGTTAGCAGGCCTGTATTCCTGATTCCTGGTCAAATCAGAGTTACTTTTAATAACAATCAATAGCTATGTGACAATATGTTTACATGTTCGAAAATATTATGTACTCGGGATTTAACAATATTAAAAAAATGTTTAGCCTCATGTGAATGCATTAACTTAATTGCCATAGGCCAGAAGAGTTTAATGTAATGTTCAGAATTTGGTATATTAATCATATTTGTAATATTCAACATAAATAAGTATTTGATGTGTATCTCTGAACAAAAGTATTTTTGGGATTGAAAAAAAAAATCAAGTTATTCATGTATAGTCATCATGACATCAGTTTGTCGTTTTTTTTTTTTTTTTTGTTGTTGTTAAGGGATCTTCTATTTTTAGAAATTGTTAGTTTTGGATTTTACTAACAAGTTGCTGTATCAGCAGAATATGAACTTAATGTGCATGTAATAATGGGCTGCTTAAAGGCACAATATGTAAGATTTCAAGATTAAAATATCCAAATACCTATAGAACAGCGATATAAATTTTGTTGATTTGTGTTGCGTTATCCCAAACGTTTTCAACAACGTTAAAATTTAAATGTTTAACCAGGACACTGACCGTATCATCGTCTCACCTTTTAATGACATCATATCCGCGTTACCCTCGATTTCCAGTTTTACTTTCGTAGAGAGTAATTGCCAAAGACACTTTATGTGTTTTATTAGACAGGTGAGCAACTGTTTGGATACATTGATCAACAGAAAATGAATCATTGTTATACAGCACAACACGGTTATAGTAACCTGTTTTTACCATACCATCAAGTGGCTAACATAGCATTCTCCATCATACAACATATTTTAAAATGTCATTTAGCAACATGATTTCCGGCGGATTCCTTTCCATCGGCTGTAGAGGCGAAGACGACAACTTTCATTATTCCTCGCTCATTCATGGCGTCATGAAGCCACACCTTCGTTTTGAATAAGTGACCGAAAATTACACACTGTGCCTTTAAGGTTTATAGGTGTCATTCGCTCTATTAAGGACCCAGCTGGATCTAATAACTAAAGTTATTCCATTGCTTTCTGGTTGTTTGTTTTTATTTTGCTGAAAATTAGGTGCATATCAAAGAACAAGCTTCACTTTCACCTGGAAAATTAAGTTGCAACGTGTTTCATTGCAATGTTTGAATTTGTTTTGTCTGTAATGTGTGTTTTTACAGGTTTTTAAAAATTAAAGTTTGACGTTGGTGATTTGAAAGAAAAAAAGAATATCCATGGCAGGTGAGAACTTTTGACTTTCGTAAACCAAACTGTTACCATATTCAAGTACCATGGTATTTACATGGTACTGTAATGCAGTTTAATGAATAGCATGTCCAAAAAGCCCTTTCACGTCCATGGAATGTTGTGTTAGTTTTGTTACTGAACCCATGACTTAAGAGGTTAAGCTTTAAATTGTTTTGTTGTTTTTTTTTCCCCCACAGAAAACAATTTCCCTCCTCTACCACGGTTCATTCCACTGAAACCATGTTTTTACCAAGACTTCAACGAGATCCCAGACCAGTGGCGTTCAATGTGCAAGCGAATGTATTACCTATGGATATGTATGTTCTTAAATATTTCAGCATGTATTATATATGTTTGAAGTATTCTCACTGCATGTCATTTGTTCATTACTGTGTGTGTGAAGTGAGTAGATTGCAATCATGTGGCTGTATTTGCCATTACATTGTCTCTTTTGTTTTCACTGTAAACACTGAGAAAAAACAGGATGCAGAAAACTTGTAGAGACGGGTTTTGTGTTTTGATCTATCGGTCCATGGGTAAAAGTGTGGGATGTCATTTACTCTTGTTATTGGACAGTTTAATAGGTTATCATTAAGTATCACAAGCGTTAGAGTTGCTTTTGCTTTTACAAACTCTTTTTTTATTGCACACTAATGGGAACTATTTTGAAATGGGTCTGGGAGTTGAGAAAGTAAGTGTTTGTTGAAATAAATTAGTTGTGTTAGATTCGAACTTAGTTTACTTAGCTATTGAACTTTAGTCATTGTGTGTCATAAATTCCAACCCCGTTCCAACAGATGAAATTTTAGTGTTCCTTGTAATGTGGTCTCCTACAACCCTAAAGTATGCATCAAACGCAATATTATGTATACATGATATACATTAGACACGTTTTGTAAGAGAATGGAATCAGTTTTTATTTTATTTTAAATCCATTTTTTACTTTTAATTAATTTATATATATAATAATTATATAAATAATAATAATAATAAGCTTGAGTTGTTGGGTCTTTCATCACACTTTTAAGGTAATATTAAATAAAAAACTAAAAAAACATTTTTTTTCCTCACTCGCAGTGAATAGTGCCACTCTGGCAGCAAACCTGATTGGCTGCCTAGCATGGATGTGTGGAGGGGGCGGAGCAACCAATTTTGGTATGGCCATTCTGTGGCTGATACTGTTCACCCCATGCTCATACGTGTGCTGGTTTAGGCCCATCTACAAGGCCTTCAAGTGAGTTAAGTTCATGTTTAAATATGGTTCAAAGTAGTCTATGAATTGTAATCATTTCATTGTGCTTGATCCTAATGCAGTTCACTCTTTCTTTTGCAGGACAGACAGTTCTTTCAACTTCATGATGTTCTTTTTCGTCTTCATGGCGCAGGTGGTGATTAGTATCATCCAGGCCGTTGGAATCCCAGGATGGGGAGTTTGGTAAAAACAGCTCATTGTGTTTAAGAAATTAAATGAGATAGATAGATAGATAGATAGATAGATAGATAGATAGATAGATAGATAGATAGATAGATAGATATTCACGTAGATAGATAGATAGATACATGTCACGATTCGATACATATCACGATACTGAACTCACGATACGATATTATTACGAATCCTCCAATCATACAAAAAGGTTAACAAAAAATATACTGTTGATTAAAATGCTAAATTTGATATTACATATTGGGTTAAATTAATAGGTTTGGACTTGGTGCTTGTAACCCAAGGGCAATGGTGACACCAGAATAAAAATATTCATGATTCTGAAGCTGAAAATTAAAGCTGAGTTATTTAGATGAATATGCTTGCACTCTTTCACTGACTAGATATATTTAAAATAATGTCGGCCACTTTTTACTGGTAACATCAGACGTTTGGCATTATCAGGACTCACAAATATTCCCCCACTGCATTATTATACATTACAACCAATATTATATATAGTAGTTTAATGTAAACTCTGAAAAGCTGATTTTTTTTTTCTCACACAATAATTATTATTTTGGGGGAACTATCCACGATACATATTGTCACTATCCAGGATACATATTGTCACTATCCACAATATGTATTTTTGTATTGCGATATATTGTGGCACAATATATTTTTACACCCCTAATAAATAGATGGACAGAGACACATAGAACAATGCTGCTTCAGTTCCAGTTCAGTTACCCTATAGAAACTCAAATGACTCATATACTCTTGCGTCACATATTATTTTTAGCACACACATAGAATGGTCTGTTTAGACTTAAGAGTATATTAGGATGTTATGCAATATTCTGAATGCATACAATATTTTCATGTACTGTACTTTTCAAGTGGCATGTTAATGAGAAAAATATCTCTTATTTATATTTTTCTATTTCAGTGGCTGGCTGGCCACCATCACTTTTTTCAGCACTAATATTGGCTCTGCCGTCGTTATGCTGATCCCCACCATAATGTTCACTGTCGTGGCTGTTTTCTCCTTCATTGCCCTCACCAAGGTACTTCTTTATTGTTTCTCCATCGTTATTGTTTTGAATATAAACAGATCTCATGTTCTCAATGTTTTTTGTTGATTAATATAAAGTTTATCCTGCACAGAATTTACAGTACTTTTCTGAGAAAAAAATCCACTTTTTACATTTTTAAATGTGCCCGAACATTATGGCTCAGGCACATCCCTGTTTTATCACGGCGGTGGGGCGGTTGTCAAGTTGACCGGCACAGGCCTTAGTTATTAATGTCCTGAGCTATAAAAGATCAACCTTCAAGTAATAAAATGTCTTCTATCTTAGGTTCACAACTTCTACCGTGGCAGCGGAGGCAGCATGAGCAAGGCTCAGGAAGAATGGACCACCGGTGCTTGGAAGAACCCTCACGTCCAGCAGGCAGCTCAGCAGGCAGCTATGGGCGCCGCACAGGGGGCCATGCCGGGCCAACAACAGTACTCCGCTGCACCAACCTACAACTATGATGATCCAATGTAGATCCTTTACATCCTCAATGGGGGGAGGGGACAGAAACAGGGTATTTGGGAGGGATAAAGTCAGTAAAAGACTAGTTTGGGGCAGGGAGAAAAGAAAAGATATATCTGACCAATTTGAATTCAAATAGGTTCCCACAGTACAACAATACATAAGCTTTTTCTTAAACCGTTTTAAAAGTGTGTGATAGTTTAAGGAGTTGCTTTTGGTAAATAGGAAAGGATCAGTCTTGCCATGGGGTATTACGGCAGATTTAATTAACGGTTGTGTAGTGTTTCTCCACTTAATGTATTTTAAACACTAGATCACAGATAAGGAAACATTCCAAAGCTCACTACGTTTCTGTAGGAAATAGAAACGATTCTCGGATGGTTGTCAGATTCATCTATGTGGTATTTGCAAGCCAGTTATATATTTTGGTTGGCTGTTAGTATTTAAAAACACATAGGAGACACATCTTTACTCTCACGTCTTAAGAATAAACATAGGTTTTTATGCACAGTCACAGACAGAAGAAACGATCAGCTACCGTAAATAAATTGACTGGTATTTACTTGATCTCACGGATGAAAGGGTATAAAGCTTATAAACATTACATTGTTTCTGTTGAGCACTTTACATCAAGTGCAAGTACAAAGAGAGCTTGTTTTGTCTTGTCAAGTTGGTTTTCTTTTCTTTGAAGGTACAAAGGAAAGCCATATGTTTACGTTGTTTTAGTTGTTGCGTATTTTCGTTCGCGTTAAAGGTTGTTTTAATATGTGTACACTCTTAGAAGAAATGGTTCTATTTAGAACCAGAAATGGTTCCATCCCCCGCTTCATATATGGAACTCCAAAATGGTTCTATATAGAACCATTTTTTTTAGTAAAAGGTCCTATCGGCCAAGTATGGAACCCCAGGGTTCTATATAGAACCCAGAGGAACCCTTTTTTAAGAGTGTATAGAACCTTTTAGGGGTTCCAAATATGTAGTGCTGATAGAACCTTTTAAGGTTCTATTTAGAACCTTTTCTTCTAAGAGTGTGGTTGTGTTGTTTTACCTCAGGATTTAATCGTCTCATTTTAATGCTGATGTACTGTAGCCAAAATTTAATTCGATGTTTGTACATTAGTTTAATTTAAATGCTCTCGAATAGAGTAAATATTTAATCTACTCTTAGCCACAGGCTTGTTACACAGTTCAACCCGTTATGATCAAAATCTGCTGCAGAGTCCGATGTTTTAGCGTTGTTCTCATTGATTTCACAGAAATCATAACTGTTGTTTTGCAAATAATCTGAGACTGAATTTCAGTCATTTCTGGCTTGTGGGTGATTTATTCTCCACTGGGTTAAAAACTACAAATAAAGCACATTATGAAGTAATATTGTCACATGTACAATATATATGTTGTATCATATTAATTATTGATTACAAGTGATGTACAGTACAGTTGTACCTCTCCCCAAAATGATGTCCATTTGTGATGATTTTTCTTGACTTTGCCTGAAAATATTTGCTCTATTACACACCGACATGCAATTTCTGTGTGAAATCCCTTGATTACATACATTTAGTAGTGCTGTCAAATCGATTATTGTGATTAATCGCATCTAACATCAAAGTTTGTGTGTTTACAAACTTATGTTGGGTGCGATTAATCGATTTGACAGAGATTTAACATCTTTCAGACTTGAAAAATTGTGGATTTGTATAAAGTAGAGCATTTAGTTAGATTTGTTGTTCAAATTCAGAATTTACAGTCTAATCTATGAGGAGCTGGTTAGGGATCAGTACATGGTTGACTGTAGAACTGGGTCATAGTTTAAGGAATATAAAGAAAAGAAAATGATATAGATTAAATAATAGTGTACAGTATATGTAATATGTCATCTCAATGTCTCTATCAAGGCTTGTAAAAATACTTTTAATCATTTCAACTGTGAAACGTTTAATACGCCCATGGTATGTGTGATATTATTCATGTATGTTTGGGGACTTTTTCTATGTACTCTTTTGTTTATGTAAAGATTTTTTTGTTAAACTTTCGTTAATGTGTGTATTTCAGTGTTTTAAGCGTAATTGTTCCACTGTGTGATGCTTAGTACACAGTTGTGGGGCTTTTTGGTAAGATTGGACTTCCTGTGCAAAGCTTGGCTGACGTTTCGTCCCTGATTGAAATCAATATTCCTCTTGCGCCCTCTGGTGGACTGGATGTTTTAAACCTGTTTGTTTTCTGATAGTCACCTAAGAAAACATTGACAGAAGCAATATCGATATCTGACATGCATGATTTGATTAAATCGACAAGAATACTATTTTTCAGCCGCACCAGCAAAAGCTAAGGTCACTGTCCTTTCCAAGACCCGCCATGTTCTTTTGTGCCCTGATCTTCATGCCTATGTATTCCAACAGTAGATAAAGCCTTGTTCATACTGTAAAGTTAAGTGAGTGGAAAGATGCCAGTAGTAACATAAAACAGATAGTTGTCTTTGTATAGTGAGTTGTGTGTGGTGCTTGGTAAATTTGTGAATTCAACCAAACCTCGTGCCATGTGTGTGTGTAGTTGTTAATTATTTTGTCAAGCCTACCGTGGAATGTATTGTTGACTTGGAGACAAGAACTACAGTCTGGTACATTTTACAGGTTTTTCTTTTTTTTTTCCCTTAGTTTTAATGGTCAAACATTTACATTATTTTGTACTGATATCAATTTAGCCATATTTCTTCCTTCAGCCACTATGTTTAGTGTGCTTCATCATTTTAATTTGTACTTGATTTGTAATAAATGCTATGTAAACACCACATAGGTTTCTAGAGAAAAAAACTATGCTTACAAATCAAACAATCATGCAAACATGAAGCTCAATAGTTGTGATTTCTGAAGGTGGTTGCTTTTGAAGTTTGAGATGATTTATTTTTTGGTTCAGTTTGTATTACTTTTATATTATTTTGTCTCTCCCTGATGGATAATAAACAGATAATGTTTATCTGGTGTCCCTCCAATTCTTTATAGTCAATGAAAAATAAAACCATAAAAACCCATATTAATTTTTTTAAATAAAATAGATGTTAACCGAAATAAAAAACAAGAACTTATGAACTTGTTCTGATTTGTTTTTGTTTTTTTCAAATCTCCTTTTTTTTCTGTTTCCATTCACATTTGAATGTAGATTTGAATATGTTGTTTGTCTGTTGTGGGTTGTTGTGCCTGACCCCTCCTCTCCCCTCAACTTTCCATCATTTCCACACCCATTTGTTTTTTGGGTTTTTTTTACCTTAAAAAAATCAGTGATGTGAACCATCAGAGCTAAAATTGCACAACCACCAGTAGATGGCACCAAAAGCCTGGGTGGATTGCATCTGGTCTCAACAATGCACTGGATCCTACGTATATCCCACAATGCAATGTGCTTGTCTTGACACTGTCATTGTAACTCTGCACCTTGACTCATTATGTGACTAAACTGAGAAAATGCGACAAGTTTTGGGTTCACTTTATTTTGATAGTACCTTTAACATATTCTGTTGACTATAAGTAATGTCGCACGCACCTACATGTCCACTAACTCTCATTAGAATAAGTTGATGTACTTGCTAAGGTTGCTTAGGTCAGAAGAATGTCTGTTGGGGGACCATCACAATAAAGTGTTATCATTTATGAAAGACCATATGATATTTCATTTCATTAAAAACATTTAAGTTGCATTCAGTGAAGACTATTGAATCAGGAACTGTGTTTTGTTTCAGTCTTTTCAAAAAGACGTAAGATGCATTTAACTATGAGACGGGCAGAATGCAACAATCTTCTGAGTTAGCATTATGTTTCAAGGACAATAATTCAGTCAGTATACGGAAACAAAACAATTTGTATCACCATTTTGGGGCCCTGAAATACGTTTGCTCCAACAGCAAGTACTTAGCCCTAAATGCATGAATGAATTGCCACACATGCAATTAGGATTGCATTAGCTTCCCATTTCTTTCTGCAAATCTCAAAATCTCAGCATTTAGTCCTTATTTCTAACGTTTTTAATAATGGAGCACTTCAATGCCTTTAGTGTCCATGAACCAGCTATCATTCAAAGTGTCAAATGCTTACAAACTAGAAACTTTCTCTAAAGAAATGTGAGAAGTGCTTGACCATGCTAATTCTGTGTGCCACAATACCATTGTTTTTGCCCATTTTACCATCCAAACGGTCCAAAAAGTAACAGCAATTCCATTGTTGATGTGAATGGTATATCATTAAAGTTCAAAGCACAAATGATTGTGTTTTGTTTAACACTTTTCCTCCCCACTTTCATCTCAGATTGTATATGCTATTCTAGACGACCGTTTTGGCACTGTATGCCTGAATACACCATTCAGACAATTGCTTGTTTTGTGCGAATCGTTCTCATCAGCGTTGCCACCAGAGACACCTAAGAAATAATGAGGGCCTTTGTTTGGGACAAGCCTCGCAGGATGTTTTGGAGAATCATTATAGAAAGGTAAATTAGAATTTCAAACTTGCTGACACAGTCCTCCGGTCGATTCGTGATTTGAAGAGAGCAACAGGAAAATGAACACAGGAGGCTGAAGCATCCACATAATTACGGTGGGGCGAGAGGTTTCCTGACGTACTTGCGTCTGTCTTCTATTCATTACCGATCTAAATGGGATAATCTGGTCCGCGTCTATTGCTGCAGAGCCGTCGCATTCACGATTCAAGAGCCTGCACTGCAACACTGAATTGAATTAATTTGCTTCCCCAACTGAGGTGGCAAGTGGTTGAAAAGATCTGAGCAGAGAGCGAGCTCGGAAGTGTACATGAATTGATGTGTTTGTCGGAAGTAGGATGGAAGTGACAGGACAAGGGTGAGTGGGACTAAAGGGTAGTGTGTGCACGGGAGCAACTATGAAAGAGGAGGGAAGAGTTATGGAAGAGAGATCATAGGAAATAAATGCGAGTGACTGAGGAGAGAGAGGGAAGGGGGAGGTTTCCTAAGTGCTTGAGCATCAGTGACTGATAGAGGACAACATTGGAAGAGAGGTGCTGAGCATGCATCCGTCTCTAGTGTTATCTGTGCGTGCTCAGATGGGGTAGGAGATGCGCTGCACTGTACGGGGCACAGTGGGAAAAGCCTGGCAACTCTGCGGAAGCTTTTTATAGACATATGGAGCAGCAAAGTCCAAACGGCATTAATTCTGGACCAAAGCCATAAAAGCCAAGAGAAGACAAGCTACTGAAAGCCTGAGCGATTTCTGGAGTGGGTTAGCTGATGTCCGGGACTCTCTTTGTCTCAGAGTATTGGGGGTTTTTTTTGTCCTCTGAGAGAAGCAATTTTTGGCTCGTCCTCCCAGGTGTCACACCAGATGCGTTCGTTTTCTGTCAGCTCGAGTGGCAATGGGACTTGTTCTTACTTTTCTTAGTGCACTATTTGGATACATATGTTCTTCACATCAAGTACTGACGGCCCCTGTACTGAAGGCTTTTTCTTCAATGTACAATATGCTTCATGGTAATATTTCTGGAATTGCAATGGAGGATGCATAGATGGGGAGAAACTGAAAAGATTCCCAGATGACTTTTGGTACGTCACACACCTCTCAAAATAGAAGCTCAATTATTTATTTTCTGGCTGTCTTAAGAACAAAGGTTCTTTCATGCCAAAAATGAATCCATTTTATCTAATATTAACATCCTACGGAAAAGAACAAAGCTTTTCCGAGAACTGTTTGCTTCAGTGCTGAAACTTTTCCAATTTTCTTGATGCCCTTTTCCTTCTTGAAAGTTTTCCTTTTGAATTTACTGACAGATGTTCCTGGACTGAATTTGGCGGTTTCTAACATCAGCTGTGCCACAAACAGCTTTTCAGACCAGAGAATGGGTCTTTTATCCAGATAGGTTTAAACAACATTGTGGCGGGCTTCAGACATGAAGTCCAGTGTCCTGTCCCCTCCTGGCTGCCGCCGCTGCTGTCATCCCTATGTGAAGGATGTTTCACGGCACCGCGCTAGGACCATTTGAACCGAGCACGAGCCCTGACCGGAGAGCAGAGATCCGCAGGCGCGTTAAGATGGTCATGGAACAGCTGGAGGAAGTTCTCGCTGAGCTCAAGGACGTGGCGAAAGAGCTCCGGGAGGTAAAGCACACACTCTGGGAATGTTTTGACATTGGTATAGGCATTGATTTGATGAAAATGTATTCGAACACAGTCTGACGATGAGATCTAGTAACCAAAAACTTTAAATCCATGGGTGTCCAATCCTACTCCTGGAGGGCCAATGTCCTGCACAGTTCATCTCCAACCCTAATCAAACACACCTGCCTTTAATTTTCAAGTGATCCTGAAGACCTTAATTGGTTGTGCAGGACAGTCGATCGGCAGGAGCAGGGTTGGGCAATCCAATCTGCACCAAACACACTTGCCTGTAAGTTTCTAGTAATCCTGAAGATCTTGATTAGCTTATTCAGGTGTGTTTGATTGGGATTGGAGCTAAACTCTGCAGGAGAGTGTCCCTCCAGGAGCAGGATTGGTCACTCCCTTTTTAACCCCACAAGGGGTGATCTACAAGCTTGAGCAAGGCACTGGTTCATACATTCTAGAGAAACATATGCAAGTACGCAAGTGTCTCTAGGTATGAACGATTGATTTTGGGAATTTTTGCTGAAAACAATTCATAATGCAACTCAACGTATGCGTTCACATTCGTAAAGTTGCTTTACCATTGTAAAAGTGGTCGACATGTTTGTGAGCAGTTTACACCCTGTTTAATGGCATTGTGTGGACACATCCAGTCTAGGAGGGCCACTATCCGGCAGAGTTTAGCTTAATCCCGAATCAAAACCGGGTTGGTTAGAAGGTGTGTCTGATTAGGGATGGAAATAAACTCTGTAGAAGAGTGGCTCTCCAGAACCGAAGTTCCCTGGCATAGACGTTTGAAGGTAACTCTATCGCCCCCTTGTGTACTGGGGTTTGTTGCCATTTCAGGAAAACAGGGTTTCTGGTCTAAAAGCCACCACTGAATGAATACAAACTAACTATACACAAACCAATAGACACAAATACAGTTGGTTCATAATCATACACAAGGTCACAAATACATCCATGCCCCAGTGGTTATGTCCATCTAGGGGCTGTTGACTGGACAGCTTGTCACCCAAACACCAACCAACAGATAGATTAACAAGGAGAAAGGCTTGCAGGATGACACCCCCCACACACACCGTTGACACCCCATGCAAGCAAGATGTCATCTGTGATGCCTAATTAACACCCGGTGAATCAGACAATGGACCGACATGCGCGGGAGCGCATCTGATTTCCTCATCTTCTCACCTGTCAATGTCTCATCTCTTTCGCAGTTATCTCCCTTTGTGCTGGGCGACTACTTTCAGCATTATGTGAGAGGACATCTCCTTAATTAATCTCTTTCCTCGGGTGGATATCTATCTGCCTCATTACTGTCACTGAGTCTATGAGTGTCCCAGACTGGCATTTGTCTCATCATCTCAGTCACAGCTCCTCTGGATTTGTCTCATTTGTCTCCTTGGCCAAGTTCAGGCATCACCGGTAGCTCTGCCGCTATTGCCTGAGTTAACACCTCCATCTGTCACTCACACCTTGCAGCAGAGCCTTATTGTTACTACTGACATCTTGTTACGGTTATTAGTTTTGCCACACGCTCATCTGTCTTTCAGCTGTCTTTTATTCCATGGATAACAGCCAAACATTTGTCACGAATCTGAATTCTTTGCCGCCAAATGTAACCAGTACATTGCTCACTTATACGCCTTTGCTTGATCTAGCCACACAGAATTATGCAAAAGTTCTTTTCATGTGTAATTGAATATTTTTAGCAAATTTGATCATGCTTTAGCTAGAAATAAAAGTGTAGTACTTTCAGCTCCATTTAACGCATTTTATCCATAATATATAATTCCACTGATTCTGATTTCCCGCCAAAAACACACTTACACAAATCCTGTCTGGGCCAATTGTAAATATCAAATAAGTATATACATAGAATAAAATACAACTTAAAAAGAGATAAGCAATTTTAACCGGACTGACTTTTATTTTATTGTTATTATTAACAGTACAGTGGTGTAGACTACACTAACGCTGATGTTGATATTGGTTAATGTTTTTGAAAATCTTGGTTTTTAAGCCTCAAGCTTCTTATAATCAGCCAGGCTAATGTTTTGAAAGTATTAGCTAAGTTTTGTTAGTTGTAGGGAATTATTAGAAAAATAATGCACACCCGAAGTGGTACAGTAACCCCTAATGTACACCCCTAATGTGTGGCATTCATTTTCAATAATTCAGTCAATTACTCGACTTATACTACATTTATCACACTTCAAAGCATTGTTCAGATGATGTATTTCAAGACGTTTGTCAGGTGTTGTCCTTAAAACTTTCGTGTGGGACTAATGTCTTTTCAATCTCATTCCAATCCTCCATCATTACTAATTCAAAATGTCATTTTAGAGATACTAACGGAGGCTTCAGCCACTGATCGCAGACTAATGAAGATATTAATGCAGTTAATATGCACTCAAAGAGAGAGAGAGGGAGAGAGAGAGCTAAGTGAATTACCTCAGTCAGTGCGTCTCTCCACGGTGTTCGACAGCAATAGCGAAACTGTATGTTTATCTGCTCTTTCAACGGTGCTGTTACTATAACCTCATATATCCTCAAATATCATGTAGATTTTGAATTGTTAAACTATTTTACTGATAAAATCGTCAGAGTAGCAGTGACAACACGTTTCTATGCGAGTGTGTGTCCGTATAGGCTACTGTGCGAGTCAGTGTTTAAAGGAGTAGTTAAAAAACTTTTGCTGATAATTTACTCACCCCCATGCCATCCAAGATGTCCATTTCTGTCTTTCTTCAGTCGAAAACAAATTAAGGTTTTTGATGAAAACATTCCAGGATTTTCACCATATATTGGACTTCAAAAAAACGGTTCAAGGTCCAAATGAGAGTTTCAGTGCAGCTTCAAACTGCTTTAAACGACACCAGACGAAGAATAAGGGTTTTTAAAAGTGAACTACTCCTTTAAGTGGAAGAGAGAGCGGGAGAAAGAGTGTGTGCACTGCTTTCCATACATAATAAAACTTAATAACTCCATAATTTGGTGGCAAAAAACATGCTAATAATTTGTTGTTTTTGTCCTGTTGTCTACAATATGTATTTGCTTTGTTCAGTGTCAGTGTTGTTGTAGGTTTTGGTTATTTTGCTATTGTTGGCTGTAAGGACCTTTGAAATGGCGAGGTGATATGGAACTATAATGCGGTCAAGACCTGCCTGGAACTACTTTAGCTGTGTGTTTCCCAGAAAATAATTGCACACCTTAGAATGTTCGTCAACCAATCAGAAAGATCAAGCACTCAACAGCCCAAAGTATCAATATTTTTTTTGTGGAAATATTTTTAGAATGTTATTAAAGGTCAGACAACTTTTAATGACTATTCTATAAACGTTACTGCAAGAATATTTGTTCATAACTTTGATATTTGTCATTTGATTATTTAGCATATACCTGGAGTGCAGTGCAAGTTGCTTTGGATAAAAACGTCTGCCAAATGCATAAATATATATGTACCGATATGATAATGTATATGGAGATTATTTTCAGAGCAAATATATGTGAAGTCAGCAATGCTTGATGAAAAATGTATGAGGATAGAATCTGTTTTTAAATCTAATAGTTTTTTTCAGAGTCTCCAGCCAGCCTCCAGGTAAAAAAATAAAATCAATGGCTAAAGAAGCCCATGCAGTAGTGGTGATGGGTCTTTACTGCTTTCAAATCAGGCTTCCTCTCACAATGCTTGTCAAAAGCTTGTTCTGACTCACACTCTGTTCCAAACACACTCCATTTAAAAGCCTTCTGGGAGGGTTTGGCAATTATCTGACACCAAGACCCGAGGTTCTTGATGACTATGGGACAAAGCGGATTAAAAAAAAAAAACATTTGGGTGGTATCTTTTAGAATTTATTGCACCAGTTATTTAATTAGATTTAGGTCCACCCTGGGTTCACCTCAAAGAGCATGCACAGAGAAGTCAAAATTAAACACGATTTAATGACTCGTAAATGTAAGTACACATTGATGGCCTAAGACACGAAACGAGCGGTTTGTGTGAGAAAACGAACAGTATGTATATAATTTTTACCTCGTGTAATCCCAACCTTGTCAAACTGATCTAACGGCACGGGCTCTTCGGTCTGCGCATGTGCCGGAAGTGATCGCTTGCACGCTTATCTCACTCTTTGTTTATATAGAGATTTTGGAAGTTTTACCTTTCACTAAACATATTTAGATATACAGGAAATCGCAATGGTAGACGATTTCGGTATATCTAAATATGTTTAGTAAAAGGTAAAATCTCCGTGTAAATGTTGAGTGACGTACACACGCAACTTAAGCGATCCGTTCCGGCGGAACATTGAACTGATTCAGTTCGGTTCAGTTGGACAATGCACAACTGATTCAGATCACTTGGACCGTCTATGGTGATTACACGAGGTAAAAACTATATAAATACTGTTCGTTTTCTCACACAAACCGCTCGTTTCGTGTCTTAGGCCATCAATGTGTACTTACATTTACGAGTCATTAAATCATGTTTAATTTTGATGCTCTGTGCATGCTCTTGACGTGGATCCCCATACCTGCATTAACGTTATATGACTGGCAGACAACAACAGTTTGACTGAAAAATGTCAAAATTGACAAAGATACAACACAGACACCTACATCTTGGATGCCTTTGAGGTAAGCTAAAACATATCAAAAATTAATTTCAAAGTGAACGAACTAAGACCTTTCAGTGGAGATTCAAAAATGTATCTCTCTGATAACCCCACAGCGCTTATCATACTTGGCAGTGTTACTCGTAAATACAGTACATTATATTTGTACAGTCCTTGTACAGTGGGATTGTTTACGACGTATTGTGCGCGCTCTCGAGCAGCAGGTGCGTTTGAATGGATATGGACTTTTCAATGCCTGTCATTTGGGCTTTTCCTGTTTACATTTGACTGCTCATTACCGAATACCAACAGCCAAAAGCCCATGGCTTGCCGCTGAATAGCCGTTCTGCTATATTATAAACACTCAATAATGCAACATCCTGGATTGAATGCGTCAGCAGCAAAGCACTGAGCTCGTCAAAATCAGAAGCAACGAATAATAACTTTAATCCAAACGCAGAGCTTTATCATCAAAATCCAAATCCAACATAACTGCATCATAAATAGCATACTAAGCTGCTTAATATTGATTAAAGATGTATTAAATCTGAACGCCAGCCCATCATAGATAACCATATATATGTTACATAATCTTAATAAAATCTACAGACAGACTTTCTGATCAAAGAGGCTTCCGTCTGTGGTATCGCAACTCTTGTGCTTTGTTTTGTCTCTGAATTGTGTGCACCAGCCTTGAGACCCTGCTCAGAAAAGGAGCTGGGTAAAGCAAGAGGAGGAATATTGATAAGCGTATGGTTGAGTTCTTATGTAAGATGCAGTTACTAACACAGCAGGAGGACAAATTCCCTTCAGCACAAACATATTAAATATTCCAATGCCAGTGGGTGAAATGGGGTGAGATGGGGGGAATAAAGATAGAAAGGATAGATACATATCCATATGCTGTATATATTACTCATTTATGGCTTAAGCTCAGGCATATAAACTATGAAACTACTGACATTATTCAGGTCTAGGTCTTTTCATCAACACTGAGAAACTAGATGTTTAAAGTTGAATGGAATTGCTGGGCTTTGCTATGTGCTTGCTAAGTGATTTTTAGTGCTGCTGTTTTGGTTGTTTACTGACCTTGGTTAAAAAAGGGCACCCCAAAATCTCTATAACATTCTGGTCAATAGAATTGGCTCCACCTTAAAATATGGGATTTTTTAAAGAGTGAACAAAAGCTTCAGATATCATATGAGTTATTTCATGACATTCATTCAATTTTCTCGTTTTCCATTCAGGTTGTGGTCCAAATTGACAAGTTAACATCAGATATCGACCTTGACTCAGAGGGTGACCTGACACTAGTGTGCTGCAGCGAGGACCGTGGCGACCTCTTGCACAATGAAACATTATCCGACAACCGCTTACTGCACAATACTCTCCGTAACCCAACCATAGCCAAGAAGCAAGAGTTAGACCTTTACCGCAGGAGCTGTGGAGATTTACCTGCCCTCAATGGACCGTTAAAGGCTCAAAACAGCCCTAAAGCGCCCTGGCTCTTTGGATCTGGAGGAAGGATCCATTCTTACGACAAGACGCTATATCATGCATTGTGCTGTGATGATGATTACAATGAATTTAGAGGTGGAATTAGATCATCAAGGCTGTCGTCCACGGATTCTGTGTTTTCATCTTCACCTCCAAGGTTTTTGACTCCCACGTGTAAGCGTAAAACTTACTCCAGCCCAGACTCGAAGAAAAGAGCCCTCCGTAGCTGCAGTACGCAAACTGTTTCTGATAAAAGCACACAAACTCACTTCCCATACATTCCAGCTAAGCAGAACTTCAAGTGACTGCAAATACTAAAACTTCTGCAAATTTCCAAAAAATGTAAAAGAATTTACCAAAATATATTTTTTTTCACACTCATGCTGTTCCGAAACTACATGACTTTCTTTGTTCTGTGGAACACAGGAGGTGAAATTTAATTTCTTGATATAAAAAAAAAAAATGAAAAAGCTGCATAATGACAAAAAAAGTCATCATAAGTCTTCTGAATATACACTACCGGTCAAAAGTTTGAAATAATTAAGATTAAATGTTTTTTGAAAGAAGTATGTTATGCTATCCAAAGCCGCATTTATTTGATAAAAAATACAGTGAAGCGGTAATAATGTGAAATCGTCTGTTTCATGGAATCTTATTTTGATATTCTGTTGTCTTGCTGTGCCTGTAAACGCCACCGGCAGAGTCTCGTCGCGTCATGGTCAACACACCTCAAGTTAGTCCGGTGATCTCTGCACTCTCACTCTCAGCGTATTGATTTCTTCTTCTTTTTTTAATCTTACCCCGAACCTTTGAATGGAAGTGTGTCATAGTTCCCACAAAAATGTTAAAAAACCTAAAATGGTTTTCATATTAATAGGATTTCTTAAATGTCAAATGTTTGTCTCGCATGGATGGTACAGTACAACAGCGTATGCACAAGGTGAACGTTGTGACAGATGAGTCAAGACTACTGACAGCAGAAAGAGCGATTCAAAACAAGAACAGCAAACCAAGCAGCATTTCATTCTTAATCGTTTTTTTGGTTCTTTTATTTGGGTCTTTTGGGTTTTTGGCTCTCCATTAGTTTTGGATGTCAAGATGAAAATGAAGTTTACCTCGGCCTAGTTAGCAAAACATTTTTACAACATAGTTTTATTAGCTGATATGGGAACAACACAGCAGAATGCCAAAATAACACTCAGAATATTTAACAATGCCTATGCAACTACCACACACAGTCCCTGCGTCCCAATTTGCTTACTTATACTACGCCCTAAAAGTATGTACTCTTTTTCTGAAGAAAAAGAGTGTGTAGCAAAAGAGTAGGCAAGCTTTGGGACATACTATCACGTCATCTTTAACGGACGTCTCTGTCGCGTGCTGCGTGCATCCTTGCCGTCAATCATCTTGACACAGTTAAAATCCTCCATTCAATCTAATTTAATTTCCTACCGTATCGGAGCACGTTAATCTGCCAGTCATGGGTCTTTCATGCGGATACTTTCCTTGCGTTTTGCAATTTAAATATAATGATGCATTTAAAAAGTAATGGCTAAACGTATCCTTACAAAAGTTCACAATGCTGCTGCAGATGCAATATAATGTGGAGAACATTGAATAAATTAATATTCGTTAGTTTAGATGGTGATAAAATCACTCAAACCTCTTTATCTAAACCTCTCAACATAACCGCGGGACTCGCGCGCCCTCCGTGTCTGTAGTTTTTTTTTTAACACTTTTTACTCGTGTTTGTAGTTCTAACCGAATCCTCGTCCAACGCGCATCGCGCAATGGGTTGTGGGCAATATCAATATCATCGATCTACACTTCGGATTCTGACCGGAAAAAGTAGACCATCCGTATCTTTGAAACACTCATTTCAACATACTACGGTTTGGGACGCGCTAATTCTATTTTCGAATACTATTTAGGACGGATAGTATGCGAATTGGGACGCAGATAGTGTCTTTAGGACATTTATAAATCCGATTATATATTTACAGCTACTAATAACTCCTTTTGTGTTCTACTGAAGAAAAATAAATGTTTTAAAAGATTTTTGGGTGTACTGTCCCATTAAGGTTCATCTTGTAAGGATAAAATGCCCAGCAGTCTGTAGCCTAATCATAAGTGTAGACATTGTAGACGGAGGAAATTAATTAAGAGACGTAATTAAGACTCACTGTCCATAGTGTCAAACACATTAGCCGTGGCATATCTGAACTTTGACATTGTGGGCCCATTCCTTCAAAATACCTCACGAAGGCCGTGGTCTTCTTAGTTCAACTGTCAGTGTGTGAGTGAGGTCATTTAATTGGTGTCTAAATCATAAAGCTTTACCTCGGGCCCATTTAAACTGGAGATGGCTGTTATGCAATCAACTATAATAAAAAGCCAATCTTAAACTGCCTTCAAGGGACACTGTGCAGTTATTTTTATGGAATACCTTTTAATCCTTTATACGTATATGTATATTATATTATATGAAATATTATATTTAATCCTCTATAAGTAGAGACTAATTACAACAAAGGAAAACTTGAGGTTAAAGATTAGAGAGATAAGACAGGATCAACCTGACTACATTTCTTGTGTCATTTTAGTACCATTTTTGATTAGATTTAAAGGAGAACTCCACCGCAAAATAAACCTTTGGTCTAATAACACATAGTTACCTAGTCGACCGTTCTCTGAGATTTGTTTTCATGATAATCGAAAGTAAAGAGTTTTATCTCTAAAAACTGTAACACGTATGCACTGTATGCCAGACCACCTCACAAGAAGTCTTGTTCTTGCCCCCTTGCTCAGTTCTGTGAAACTTATAACGAATAGAAAACAAATAGAAACCTTCACAAAAGTGCTCTTCTCCTCTTCACCTGCTCTCTGGCAGCACAAGCGTTGGTCCCCCGCCCCATTGTTAATGATGATAATTGTGGCATCACTGGCACCACATGATATTAAGCTTGCTTTATCGAGATAATGACACTCCATTAGTTGTGTCCCAGTCACTAATCTCTTCATGCACATGGGGCTAAACTAGGACAAAAGTTTTAATGGGGTTGCATGTAATCAAACCCATTAGCCTCTCCTTCATTCATTGAATTTCGTGATTGACACATAATGTTCATTTATTCCATCTATAATGATTCCTTAATGCTGGTTTCCAGCCCCTTCAGAATGCTTATATTCAATTCTCATCAGACCTCCGCAGACAAGGTCTTGAGCTTCATTAATCAAATTAAAGAATCCATTCCTCAGCCTCTCCATTAATCAAGCTGTACTGTGTGATGTGAATATAAAGTGACCTTACTGGAAGAGACTCCATTAACCATCAAATCACAAACACGCTGCACAATACACATACTCTCATATCATATTTCTCTACAGTAAGCAAAGGGCTACACTTCAAAGCAACCCCCCCAAACAAATTCTGCCGTTGCTAACTTACTGACCCGTATGACTTTTTTTCTTATAAAACACAACAGGTCTGCAATTATGAATTAATCTGCAATTAAGAATGCGAAAGTTCCTTCAGGGTACTTCCTTTTTCTCCAACATATTTCGTTGAAATTGAGCAGGCTATAGCCACACTGGATGACATGTAGCCATTAGCCTGTGAGTTTTTAGGAAAAATGTAAAAGATTTCTCTTAGTCTCCTGCCACAAAATGGACGTCTAATTTCCACTTCAAAATGACCAAAGTCTGAGCGGCCAATGGTGGTAGTTTAGAAGCGGACGCTGTTTCTCTAATCTTCCCCGCACAGACTTTCAGACTTGTCTTGATCTTTAAACAAGCCCAATGTAGCCTTTGTAGCTGAGCCATGTTCCACTGGAACGGGGCGTCTCTTTGCAGGGTGTGAAATGCCTGGACTCTTCCTCCTCTATCCCTGTCATAACTGGTGTGTCCTGATTCCCTCAGGCGCTGTCAGGCGTGCAACACTGAGTAGAAGAGCTCAGCGAAGACTGGCGCTCTCTGAGAAGCGTATCCAGCCAAGAGACCATCTGTCATAGCGAATAACTGCGTGACAGCACAAATACAGTCCTTCCTCTCTAAAACCCTGACTAGCACCGCAAACTGATGGAGATGAGGGCTTGGAATGAAAATAACTGATCCAAACAAAACATTTCAGGTCATAGTGGAAAGGAATGAGAGAATATAAAGCAAACAACCATTCAACACTCTTAGAAGAAATGGTTCTATTTAGAACCAGAAATGGTTCCATCCCCCGCTTCATATATGGAACTCCAAAATGGTTCTTCATAGAACCATTTTTTTTGGTAAAAGGTTCTATTGGCCAAGTATGGAACCCCAGGGTTCTAAAGAGGAACCCTTTTTTTAAGAGTGTATAGAACCTTTTAGGGGTTCCAAATATGTAGCACTGATATATAGAACCTTTTCTTCTAAGAGTGAAGATTTCTAATCTCTTTGAAAGGCCAATCGTTTGGATGGAAAGTTGTTATATCATGTCTAGATCCAAATTGCTTATTTATTATTGTTAGCAGATTGATTATCTCAGTTTACTAAGGAGACGTTAGTAAACTAGTTAGCATGGTCTAGTTTGCCCCTACTGGTATATGCCGTAACTACACCCATGCTATAGATGTAATGATGAGTGAAAAATGGCAGATTTTGATAGCAATTTACCTGGGATCCATGTGTTAACAGGGCGACATCAAGGAGAAATGAAATCCTAACCACTAACATTAAATTTGAACCCTGTATCCCCATATTTGGCAAGCTGGTTTGTGCAAAGATGAGCTAGCCTACATGTTGTTGTTTTTAGCTTGTGCACTTTAAAGTCAACATGTTTTCATTCAACTTTCAAACTTTAATTCAAAAACAAAAAGGTGAAAAATAAAGCATTTGATATTTGTATTTAAGGCGACTTCAATTTATTTATTTTTTATAAATAATTTCACTGAAATATTTTATTTACTATTTAAAATAAGTCAGGTTGTGGTGTTAAATGCTGCCTTGTCAACTAGCTGAAATAAAATAAGTTTTATTTTAAGTTACATTTTTTTTAGATACAAAAAAAAAAAAAAAAAAAAACCTGGACGTAGGTTCTCCGAGACACTTTTTTTTTATTCAAAGGGGTCTCTTTATTCCTCTCAAGGACTCTTATTATTCCAGCCAATTTCTGGCCCTTTTTACTTTTCATAGATTCCAACGCTGGATAGAAATGACAAATCAAGTCTCTTTTAAATACTGAAAAATACGGTTTTGTCTTTATACATTTGGATGAATGAAAAATTTGCCCAGTGTCAACATTACATAAGAAATTAATTTATTTTCTCGTCCAACAGCATTCCAAACATAACATGTTTGCAAGCAAAAGTGGGCAGTGAGTGAATCTTTGATTCCAACCAATAAGACATATTTTCCCAAAAAGTATTTTGAAGAAACACAAGAAAAAGGCATTTTCTTCAAAATTAAACCGTTGTCTTAAAAATAGTATGCACTTAAAATGAGTTTCCTTAGCTGTAGGAGCCACTGGAAAGCTACTACTGTGCTCGGAATTTTTTAATAGTTTGTTTATCATAAGATTACAAAACAGTTATTATAGGCTACAAAAGTGTCGGATATGTATTTCTGTCATTCAAAACTACTCTGCCCCCTCTGTTCAAAAGACAGTACTACAGTCTGTGAACACACCAGGAAAACTACGATTCCCAGAACCACCATCTTTCCTGCATGACGTCATGTTGCACGGATGGAAACAGTCGCTGATGATACTATTAATTCAATGCAAAAACAGATTGCGTTTTCAAGAGTGATAGATATATTCACCGATTCTGTGCCAAAAAAGAAAGCACGGCATCTGCGTGCTGCTGTAAGACGTTAGATCAATGGCGTCATCAGAGTGGCGTCTGTGTTTAAAGCTGGTGGATCAACCATCTCTTCCCAAGTCGGTGCTCCAGTTTCCAGAGACTGAACCTGGAGATGTTCCTCCCGGCGGGTATCGGGTCTCCACTCTCAAGCAATTGGTGTCAGCACAGATCCCAGATGCCATACCAGATCCTGAGCTCATAGGTAACATAGCCTATAATACTACACGCATAAAAGACTCATTCAATATTAATTAGGTGGCACAGTATGGCAGCTACATTTCAAATTAATACAGTTTTTATATACGAATTAAAAAGAATAGAGCCCTTAATGTTGTAATTTGACTTGGAAGTCAAATTAAAACCATTAAAATGTATTAATTTTGAGCGGTCTGCCCGTTATTCAAGCCCCTTTGCATCTGTTTACAATTTATTTTGTACTTGTATTTATATGAATCCATAGTGAATCAATTTGAAAAACTATTGATTATATATTGCTAGTTACTATAATAATTACTCCGAGTCTGACTAATAATGCTAGTGAATTCTTTGAATTTATGTGGTTGTTCAGATACAAACTATTGAAAAGTGAATAATTAATATTCCAACTGTTGTACCAATTCCAATTTTGGAGGTAACTGTTTCCTAATCATAATCACTAGTAACTATCCTAATAGTCACCAGTGTCTATTCCAGCTACCGACGTGTGTTTGTGTGTGTTAATCACGTTCATGCATTGTTGTGATTCATAAAAATGTTACCAGGCATGAACCCTAGACGAATCTTGACATTATTGCAAACAGTTTTCCCATCATCTCCTATGACAGAATTGGTGTACTGTGGTAGAAAGTTAAAGGATGACTTGACTCTGGAGTCCTATGGGATTCAGTCTGGATCCACTGTGCACATCCTGAGAAGGTCATGGCCAGAACCTGTGATCCACCCTGGTGAGTCGATGCAATTATGTATGTGTTCTTCTGTTGAACTCAAAAGTAGACGTCAGGCAGAATGTTCATGCTGTTCCTTTCCATACAAGGGAAAATATGAAAAGACAGAAACTGTCAAGCTCCATAAAAGACAAAAAGCAACATAAACATGGTCCGTTATTTATTCCCTTTATGTTCTTCTACAGAGCCAGTGGACAAGGTCGCGGCTGCGAGGGAATTTCGAGTCTTGCAAGCAGCTCTTCACACCAGCACTGCATACAGGGATTCGGTAGGTTCAATAGACGGTAGTGAGTGGCATCCCGATTGTGTGTGTTTGTTGGTGGTTCTGGATGCTTGAGTACTTTTTCACACACTTCTTCACCCATTCCAGGTGTTTAAGATGCTGAACAACAAGGAATCCCTCGACCAGATCATCGTGGCAACTCCAGGGCTGAGCAGCGATCCTGTGGCTCTTGGTGCGTTCAGAAGCAGAAATGATTTGCGATGCGAGGCGTATCGAAGACTTACTGTACTTCTGTTTATTGACTGCGTTTTCAGGGGTTCTTCAAGACAAAGACCTCTTCATACAATTCACAGACCCAAGCATGCTTGACACGTGAGTGAGCCTCGTTACAGTCAGAATTAAATCGCAGCTTTTTCTTTACGAACTGCCCCACAAAAATACTAATAAATGATTATTATTATTAATAGTAGTAGTATTAATATTAATAATAAGAAAAAAGTAAATGTAATTAATAATAATGATGAGGATAATAATAATGGTGATAATAAAACTCAAATAATAAAAAAATCAATTGTTATATTAACTATTCAGGATAAATATAATAATTATTAGTAGTAGTAGTGGTATTGATAATAATACAATAATAATAAATCAATGATTTTATGTTATTATGGTTAATAATAATAATAAATATGTATTATTTATTCATATTTATTCTATTCTTTTATTACTGATTATATTTATAGTTATAACAATTAATAATAATAATTAAAAATAATAAATACATATTAATATTAATTTAAAAATAATTAATATTATTTTAATTACCGTTTTTGTTAATTAACTAATCAATATTAATACAACAATTATATAAATATAAATCAACAGTGTTATTCATATAATAAAATAATAATCAATCAATAATATTATCATTAATCAATTTATATATAATAAAATAATTTTTAAATAACTTAATGTATATAGTAATAATAATCAACAACGTTATTCATATAATAATAATATAATAATCAATCAATAATATCATCATTAATCAATTTATATATAATAAAATAATTATTGATTAACTTCATGTATATAATAATAATAATTATTATTATTATTATAAAACAATGTTAATATAATAGTAGTCATTTTTATAAGCAGCAGCATCTGCAGTTTCAATAATAACAATAATAAATCAATACTATTTTATGCAATTTATTATATTGTAAATAAGAATAATAGTAATAATAAAAACAACAATAAATCAGTAATGTTTTTATTAATTAACTAACCAATCTTAATATAACAATAATACATCAATAATAATTGATAATATAATAATAATAATGATTAACTTAAAATATAATATTATTTTAAAACTGTCATTTTTAAAAATAAATTCATTTTTTAAATTTATATTTGTATATAAAACAAATTTCAAGCATTTAAGCATAAGGCAAGTTTGTAAAGTTTTTCGACTGGCAGTGATTGTCTTTATAATACTTCATCATTTCTTTTTGGCTTATGAGTAAAAGGGGTTGTGAATGCCATAGATGTTGTTGAACCTGTGGTTTATCCGCCTCAAAATGTGAATCATATACTGCACTTTAGGTTAGAGATAAAAATACCCGCCCCATCTTAACTGTCTCACCAGTTTGGCCAATTCCCACCCGGCACTGGTAAATGCCATCATCCTGGTGTTGCACTCGGTGGCTGGCAGTGTGCCGCCCCAGCAGAGCGCCAGTTCCTCCAGAAATGTGTCTTCTAGCTCTTACAGTGACATGCCAGGTTGGTGTCCATAAAAAATTGCTCACCATTAACATAATGTGTGAGGTCATTTTGGCGATCCAATGTAGATTTAATGCATGAACTTTTTTTTTAATCTACAGGAGGTTTCCTCTTTGAAGGCATGTCGGATGATGAGGAAGATTTCCAGTCGGTTTGTTATGATTTACTGTTTTTCATTAAGAGTATGTGCATTTGCGATATTGGATCCTAAGGCTGCTTTATCATCTGTAGGTGAATCGTGGTGGGCCGTCCTCTCTTGCGAGTGGTTTTGCTGGCATGAGGCCAGCAACTCTCGGTTACAATGGAGCCGTCGGCCCCAGACCCATCACTCAAAGTGAGCTGGCCACGGCTTTAGCCCTCGCCAGCACCCCCGAGAGCAGTGCTGTTACACCAACTACTGGAAACCAGGTACAGTGCATTTCAATAGACTATTCACACCATTATAAAACGCTTAGTTCCAGCCCTTAATTCTGATTGGTCAATAGCTTTATTCATGATAAAACACGGCTATGACTGCTTCACGGTCCTATTTATCACTGTGCAACACTGTAGTGCTTATTTCTGCCACAGAATAAGAAAAAATAAAAAGGTCACTTCTTTTTTTTTGCCTTGCAATTTTGAGTTTATATCTTGCAATTCATAAACTTATACTAGGAAGTCTGAATTGCAAGGGGAAAAAGACAGAATTGTGAGATAAAAAGACGCAATTACCTTTTTTTATGCAACTTGCTTCCATATGTTTGAGAATTGCACACATTCATAAAAGAACAAACATGTCATTGTCTGTGACAGGGTCCCTCTTCAGGAGTGTCCCCTATTCCTGCAGGCACTCCTATAACAAACGACCTGTTTAACCAGGCACTGCAACAGGCCCTGCAGGTCTCCAGCATGTCCAGCTTACACGTGAGTAACCACCAGAGATCCAGTGCCAATTTAGACCAGCATCATCATTACAGCACTTAGAGATGCTGTTCAAACAGCGTTGGGGAAAGTGACTTTTAACTTACCATATAATGCACTTCAATGGGAACCGAACGGTTCACGGTCCAAATGAGAGTTTCAGTTCAGAGAGTTTTCAGAATTTCCTTTGAAGCTAAAGGGCTTTAAACGACACCAGACGATGAATAAGGGTCTCATCTAGCGAAACGATCGCTCATTTAAAAAATAAAATAAAAAAGTTTACATTTTATAAGCTCATGCTCGCCTTGTGACTCTCCTGTTCAAACTCGTTCATCAAAGTGAACAACTCTTTTTTCGAGTCATGACTCGAAGGGTCCTTGATAAGACCCTTATTCATCGTCTGGTGTCGTTTAAAGCCCTTTGAAGCTGCACTGAAACTCTCATTTGGACTTTGAGTCGTTTGGTTCCCATTGAAGTCCATTATATGGAGAAAATCCTGGAATGTTTTCATCACTTTTCGACTGAAGAAAGAAAGACGTGGACATCTTGGATGACATGGGAGTGAGTAAATTATCAGCAAATGTTTTTTGAAAGTGAACTACTCCTTTAATGTCGAGCCCTCCCTATATAGCAATGTCATCAGGATACAAAGACACCAGTAGGCAGTGGCCCACCTTACCTGGTGACCACATCGTGGTCCACCAGAATTTATAGTTCACCCACCTCTTTTTTTTACCACTACACCTCTGCCCATATTGAATGAACTGGGCTAGTTAAGTGCTATCAAAGTGTCTCGCGCCAGAGCGATTGACACGAGAGAGGTATGCATCAACTCGTTTTAGTTAAGGGAATAACATAGTTTAATATGAAAAAACGGTGGAGTATCCCTTTAATACTACAAGATCTACAATACTTAAGCCATTTATTCCATAGGGTAAATTCCCAAGGTGTGCCTCCTCTAAAAGTGTCCCAGTGAAACAGCATACTACTTTTATTTATCCGCCACGGTGGCTGGTGCTAATTTCCATCCCTGGCACATATGTACGTTTGGATGTTTGGCAAGTTAAAGGAGCTGTATGCTAGAAATTAATTTCAATTAATCATACATTTTCCCTGATATGTCACTAGACATTAAGAAATCATGTTCATTTCAAATACATTTATCACTGACAACAGTAGTCCGGCCAGGATATTGTCATTTAACAAGTGAAGTTGCAGCCCTAAACTGATGTTGATGTTGTCATGTTGTGTTTTGGTCTGATGCTCCACTCTCCACCGATCTACCAATTAGGGATGCAACGGTACACGGTAAAATCCCGGACCGTTCGGTCAGCCCTGCACGGGACAATCTAACCTCGTGTCCCGCAGGACTTCGGTTCTGCCATAGAGTTCGTGCTGATCCTTTAACCGTATTTTCCGCACTATAAAAGGCGCACTTAAAAGCCTTTAATCTTCTCAAAAAACAACAGTGTGCCTTATATTAGATCCATATCATATATGGATTAAATTCGCCCGCGAACTCGCGCTCGTGTCCAGCTTATGCCCGCTTTGTCACACGGCCAGTTCAACCTCGTATAAATCAGGTTATGTGTGTGTCGCTCACGAGCGCTCACTCTAACAGACACACGAACAGACCGGCGCTGCTCGCGCGTCATAGATGTTCATAAAGCGCTCCCCGTTCACACGGGTCGTCTCATTCAAAACAGCCAACTGTTGTTAGTGAGCCGCCGCACATTGAATACTCATATGAGTCAGGCTGCGAATGTAAGTTACGTGCCCGCCCCAGCGCGCTCACGCTTACTAAATAAACGCCTCACCTCCGGCTCCGTAGCCTACTCTCTACATTCCCAGCACATAGTGGATGCATAACGCAAACCCAGTCAAATGTTTGACTGCAGTATATTTTTTGCACAAGAATCTCTCAAAAGTGGATTAGTAACATTGCACTTTGTATCCTGAATGCAGTATTTTTTTTATTATATTATTTTGCTCTGCTCTTTTTATTCAAACCACAAGCTAATTTTTGTTAAAGGTAAAAGTGCACTTTTTCTTTCACATTGATCACTTCATTTACCAGTTATCAAGGTTTGTAATTGGGATCCACTTGAATATTTTAAAGTGTGCTCGTTTACATTTTGTATATCATAAGTGGTATTTGAAGAGGTTGTATTGCTTAGTGTTGTTCAGTACAGACTAGAGTGTTAATTTATTCCATACACATTGATGTTCTTCCTACTGTGACATTCTGTTTATGCTCATAAGAAAAATAAAACATATTTTTGGGATGAAATAGCAGTCTCTTTCTGCACAAAACATGTACCGAAACCGAACCGAGACCGTGGCCCAAAAACCGAGGTACGGACCGTACCGTGGGCTATCTGTACCGTTGCACCCCTACTACCAATCAGTGTTGCGGACAAAAACAAACAAACAAACCACAGCTGCAGATACAAACGTTTTGGAATCGAATAAAAAATGTCTAACGTTGCAAAACCAAAAAAAAACTTGATATGAATCCGAAATACTTCGTGACAAAGCCCGAAATAAATAATTAACAACGAAAAAAAAACTCACTGTGTAGGACTCGTCACTTTCCATGATTTGGAAGCTTCTTGTAGCAGCCTACGGTCCTCCTGGATCTGGCAACCTCGAGTCAAGGGGGAAGGTGGGAGGATACGCCGTTCTACATTCATTTGAAAGTGATTGCAGTACCAGTATTGGCCACAATCTTGCATACGGTTCCTTTTAAAAAAAGAAATACATTATAAAATATTTTTTTTTTGTCTTGTATCTTTAGTGTTGGTCTTAAAAATCTATCATTTTCTGTTTTGGTCCGCATAAAAAAAAACACCAAATGAACCAAACAGCAAGTGTGAACTCACAAAGTAGCGTTGCTGATTTTGGAGTGACTCTCTTTCATACTGTGTGTAGAATCAGTGGCAGTCGCAGCTCCAGCAGCTGCGGGACATGGGCATCCGTGATGAGGAGCTCATCCTGAGAGCCCTGCAGGCCACGGGCGGAGACATCCAAGCAGCCCTGGAGCTCATATTCGCTGGAGGTGCTCCATGAGTCAGTTCTCTGAAGAAACATTATTATGATGTTCAATATTTTAACTACCTATTTGATAGTGTGATTTATCTTTAACTTATAATTAAGTTGTTTTTGTCAATATGTACATTGAATGCAGTTTTAAAATAGATATACTTCAGATTTCTCGCGTAGTTGTGAATTTTATCTCACAATTCGTAGACTAAAAACTCAAAATTGCGAGACATAAACTTACAATTGTGATAAAAATGTCAGAATTATATCTATTTTTTCAGGGGGAAATAAGTTGAAGGCCTACGCTACAATTTATCACCTTTGCTGCTGTGTTAACTGTTAATATACTGTGTTTGTTTTATCTATTATCCTGGCAAATAATGATAACTAAAAGCTAACATTTGCCTGTTCAGACAATCCTTGTTGTTTTATTAAAATGTTCCACGAATACCATAAAATTGGTTTCACTGTAATTTGTAAGGATGAAAGTCGGTATCTATTTTCTAAATGCATCGTAATGATCATATTGTGAATGATTCATCCATGCATTTTTTTTTTAATTAAAATTTATGGAAGCCCATTTCTCCCACTTAGGAAAAATTATTAAAAAATTAAACTTTTGCAAATCAGATACACCAAGTCTTTTATGAGATGAAGTCAAAATTATGAGATAAAAAAAATCTAAATTATGACATTCTAAGTGAAAATGTATGACAGAAAGTAATCAGATTTTTTTTATCTCATTATGTTGATATGAGTTTCATAATTATGACTTAGTATGCCATTATTTCAGCTTCTTAATTCAACTTATTATGACTTTAGGATGTCATAATTTTGACTTTTTATGTCATAATTAAGATTTGCAAAAGTATGTTTTTTTCTGGGTTTCCATAAAAATGCCATATCTTCCGAGAATGACAGACAGACTTTGTAACACTAAATGTGACGGTTTTTAGATAACATTTTAACTGTTTACTGACTGGTAGACGAAGATCAGTGGAAAGCAGCATACAAATCAACAATATAATAAATATTAATAAAAAATAAGTGTACATTTTTAAAGTACAAATTGTGAATATTGTAGTAAAGCATACTTTCTATATTTGAAAGAAAAGCAGTGATAGTTGCAATGAACTGTTTCAATGAACAGAATATGAATCTATCTTTCACCTATTTTATTCTTAGTAAAATGTGTTTTTCTAACCAATTATATCACAAATTGCAACAAAATGTATCGCTATATACACTACGAGAAATCTCAAAAAGTCACCATAATAATACAATTGATATTCATATTACATCCACAGTAAATACAGTAGCCTACAGAACGTAGCCAATATTCAGTAAACAAATGTGTTGTCAATTATTTTTAAGAGTTTAATTATTTGTTTTAGGTGGTAGCCTAAAGTTATTACTGATAGCAGTAAATAACAAACAATTTCGCCATGACAAAACTAGAACAACTTAAATTAATAACCCTGATTATAGTGCATCTTATGTCAGTGTTCTAAAATTAGGTTGTTTTTTTTTATGACAGATATCCTGTCACTTAGGTCAAACTATCTAGCCTATATAAGGCATTTATCATCAGTCTCAATAACCGTTTACGTTTTTATGGGTTTATTGTATCGAAGAACAAACCATATAAGGAGTTGTCTGGTGTGGACTGGTACCCTATAGGACAATAATCAGGTTAAACGTCTTATAAAAGCCTTTGTTGTCACAGTTTGTGTTCAGGTCTATTCAGCGATTCCTGTTCAAATTTTAAAGGTACCTATACAATGGCCAAGACAGAGTCGAGTCCTTTACTTTCCGTTCATCCTTCAACTTGCTTGGTTGATGAAAAATTTGAGGTGGAAGTTCAGCATTTGCCTGCCGATTCCAAAATCACTCTTCACGCGCTGATTCACTCTGACGATGGAGACGATTGGGAAGCGTTCGGCCACTACACCAGCGACTCCTCAGGGACCGTTAAGGGTACTGTACTTCATTTTAAACTCAAATGCTGTTTTGACTCATTTTTTAATCATAATAGGTTCACTGAATTATTATTACACAGTTTCCAGAGATAAAAGTCTCGGTGGAACATTTGAGGGAGTTGAAGCCATGGCTCTGCTGTGGAGTATGAGACCTGTACTTGAAAGTAAACCAGTTCGCCGGTAAGTAAATAAAGAGAAAGAGATAAACAACCGCACCACCCTTATTTTATTTAAAGGGACAGTTCACCATAAAATGAAAATTCTGCCATTGTTTAGTCCTCAAATGTCGTTCCAAAAACTGCATGCTGTTATTTATTTTTATTTATTTTTTATTTTTATTTATTTAATTTTATGAGAATTTTTTTTCTCTGGAGAAATCCATTCATTAAAATAGGAATCCACGTGTTTGGGAATTTCATGTGCGGCAAATGAATTCCGGAATTAACCAATCATGATCAAAGCAATAAGGTTATAACCAATAGGAATTGTTTCATTGTGGTAAAGCAGCGCAATGTTTTATATTTTATATAAGAAGGTTCATGATAAAAATGTAAAATGATAATGAAATAATAATAATGATCTCAATAATAATTTAAAAGGCAGAAGTTATTTATTCTGTAGGCTACATGCATTAATTGATTCAACAGAGATCTTGGGAATAAAAATCAAAGTTGATTTATAGGCTAAAGTGTTTTTTTTTTTATTCCCAGCTAACAATTTTTGGTTCCCAGAACGTTCTCAGAACGTTAGATTTTGGTTCCCAGAACGTTCTCAGAACGTTAGTTTTTGGTTCTCAGAACGTTACTTTTTGTGGTTTGTTTTTGGTTAGCTGGGAAAGTTTTCTTAACGTTCCCAGAACGTTAGATTTTGGTTCCCAGAACGTTCTCAGAACGTTGTTTTTTGGTTCTCAGAAAGTTAGTTTTTGGTTCCCAGAAGAGTGGTTTTTGGTTCCCAGAACGTTAGTTTTTGGTTCTCAGAAAGTTAGTTTTTGGTTCCCAGAACAGTGGTTTTTGGTTCCCAGAACGTTAGTTTTTGGTTCTCAGAACGTTATTTTTTATGGTTTGTTTTTGGTTAGCTGGGAAAGTTTTCTTAACGTTCCCAGAACGTTAGATTTTGGTTCCCAGAACGTTCTCAGAACATTAGTTTTTGGTTCCCAGAAGAGTGGTTTTTGGTTCCCAGAACGTTCTCAGAACGTTAGTTTTTGGTTCTCAGAACGTTATTTTTTATGGTTTGTTTTTGGTTAGCTGGGAAAGTTTTCTTAACGTTCTCAGAACGTTAGATTTTGGTTCCCAGAATGTTCTCAGAACATTAGTTTTTGGTTATCATAACGTTAGTTTTTGGTTACCAGAAAGTTCGTTTTTGGTTCCCAGAACATTACATAGACAATAGTTTTCTTTATGTTCAACAACAATTCATCTTTTTTTTTTACTTCAATAAAATACAACAGTAAATCTATATAAATAAACCTGTACAGTCCATGTTTTTGTCGATTCATTGTTTAATTGTTGATTAAAAACAGACAAAAAAACAGAATTATATAGGCCTAGGCTGTGCATCACATTTAAAACAGGCAAAACAAAAGGTGAAACGAAAACAATTGTAGATCCTGCACTTGAAAGCCTCATCCATCTTCATCCATCTTCACCACAGTCATCTGTAAGAATAACAAATAGTAACATTATTACAAAGAAAAGTAAAAAAAAAATATATATATTCTTCAATCAGTCACTGCCATTTAAGTGAAATGACTGAACCTTAAAGGAACACTACGACTTTTTGGGACTTTAGCCTATTCACCTCATCCCCCATAGTTAGATAAGTCCATACATACCTTTTTCATCTCCGTGCGTGCTATAAGTCTGTTTGACGCACCCACCGCTAGCCTAGCTTAGCACAAAGACTGGATGTGAATGGTTGCGGCTTTCATACTAATCCAAATGAGTGACAAAATAACGAATACGTTTTCCTATTTACATGTTGTGGTTTGTATAGTCACAGACTGTGTATACCTGCATTTTTTGTGTTTTTTTATGTATTTATGTATAATATGTGTGCTAAACAAAAGTGTATATAGTTTCTCATTGATAATTGTCTTGAGATATTCACATTTATTCACATTTATAAACTTATTATTATAATCTCCTAAAGTCTTAGAATTTTTATGTTTTCAAGTTTATGATTATTTTTTATTATTTTTCATTTAATTTTGTAATACATGTTTATAAAAATACATGTTCACGGTTTTTATATGTAGATACATTTAATTTATTGTAATGATTTTATATTCATACAATAAATTGTTTTAATTTTTTAAATAATTACTATTCAGTCACAAACTTGTTCTGCAAAGCAAAAAATAAGATAAATAAGAAAATTTTCGTCAGGACAGAAACTGTAATCTTTTCAACGTTATTGCATATTAGATGAGGTTTTCACGTTGGAGCTGTGAGTGTAAATTTTAGCATACAAGTATTTATTGTTCATGCTCGAGTCTTGTTACTCTTTTACCTTCATAGGTATTCCAGAGTTTAGGGGTAAAATGCGAGAAATCTCCTTTAGTGGACTTTTATGCTGGGCACTACTCACTGATCTATATAAACGACTTGATTGCTCATGACGTCATGTAAATTGAAGTCACCATATTCAATTGAATTAATAGGAAATTATTATCAATGTTAAAAACAGTTGTGCTGATTAATGCGTTTGTGTAAACCATTGTAACAGTTTAAACCATTTTTTCCCCTCCAAGATTCATTGTTAAATAGACCACAAACATATGAAGGGTAGTTTACACTAATGTTCAAACATTTGGGGTCAATGATAGATTTAAAAATTAATAGAACAAAAAAAGAAGAAATTCTTACTCAGCAAGGATGCATTACATTAACAAATATATTCAAATAAATGCTGTTATTTAAACCTTTCTATTCATCAAATAATCCTGAAAAACACAAAAATATGAAGCAGCACAACTGTTTTCAACACTGATAATAATCATAAATGTTTTTTTATTTATTGAGCTTCCTCGGCTCACCTGTGTCCTAACGTTACTTCTCCGGCAGCAGCTTTCTTCAGAAATGTTGAAGTAGTGGAGCTTTCTCTCTGTTATGGGTTATTTCGTTACTACTGAAATCACAGAACATTTAATCAAAATGTGTTTAACGTTACCATTGAGCTAACGTTAGTTTCGGCCAATTGCTCCTGAAAGTCCTGAAACATCACCGATACGTTACGTTTACGTTAAATAAATTAGCTCACTGTAAAACCCTTACAAAACCTCTCATTTACACATAATAGGTGATTAAAAGAAACTTTAATAAATAAAAGTTCAACCGAGTTAACGTGGATGTTAGTTAGCCTTGCTAACGTTAGCTGCTACCTCTTTAGCCTTGCTAATATGTTACCTCTACGGACTTTTTCCGAAGACTACACCATGTCGATAAGGTACATTTTTAACAGAATCGTGTCAAATACAAGTAGAAATGTCGAAAACAGTTGTGAGTATTATTCGTGTGCTTTTAGAGAGTAATCTCACCTGAAAAAAGCCGTGAAAAGTTGAAACAACAGCGAGAGAGGGAGTTTTGTTGTTTACCAGTAGCAGTGGTCCCGCGCCGTTTCCATGGCAACTCTGCGCGCCGGCCGCTCCAGTGTTTGAGAGACTCGAAAGTTCACGTGCACGGCATTAATGATTAACCACGTCAAAATCATGCAGCACGTAAATATATACATACATACAATAAAGATGTCCTGAAAGTGCTTTGTAAATAGAATATGAAAGCAGTAGCCTATTGATTATATCAAATAACATTATTGTCGTTGAATATTCAGCTGTAAACCTGGACTTTCACAGAGAGCAATTGGTTATTAAATTAAACCTATAAATAACCTGCAGGGAACGTTCTGGAAAGGTACTCTTTAGGTTACAAAATTAAACCTAAAAATAACCAGCAGGGAACGTTCCGGAACGTGATCTTTAGGTTATAAAATTAAACCTAAAAATAACCTGCAGGGAACGTTCCCGGAACGTTCTCTTTAGGTTATAAAATTAAACCCAAAAATAACCTACAGGGAACGTTCCCGGAACGTTCTCTTTAGGTTATAAAATTAAACCCAAAAATAACCTGCAGGGAACGTTCCCGGAACGTTCTCTTTAGGTTATAAAATTAAACCCAAAAATAACCTGCAGGGAACGTTCCCGGAACGTTCTCTTTAGGTTATAAAAATTAAACCTAAAAATAACCGGCTGGGAAGGTTCTCTTCAGGTTACAAAATTAAACCTAAAAATAACCTGCAGGGAACGTTCCCGGAACGTTCTCTTTAGGTTATAAAATTAAATCTAAAAATAACCTGCAGGGAACGTTCCCGGAACGTTCTCTTTAGGTTATTAAAAAAAAACCTACAGAGAACGTTCTTAGAACGTTCTTATTTGGTTCCCAAAAAAATAACCAAATGGGAACCATATGGGAACGTTAGGGGAACGTTCTGTGTTTACTGGGTTTTTTTTTTTACCCCTTTTCAACCATTTAGCATTTAACATTATTCCAACGTAGTTTCAACATTGAAACAATAACTGACATTATTTCAACCATATTTCAACGTTGAAGGTTGGCCATGTACTGATTGGTTTTCAACCATTTAGCATTTAGCATTATATCAACGTTGTTTCAATGTTCAAAGGTTCATCATGTTGACCAAGCAGGTTTATGCTAATGAATCAACTTCCAGTGCAAATTTGAGCTACGAAATTAAACCTGTTGGCAATACCCTCTGAAATCTTACGCCATCACGCAAAATTCTTGGTCACGTGAATATCTATGGATATGAGCGGATTTCGCCCGTGTAAATGTGCCGTAAAAGCTCATTTAGCGTATCTTGATTTGAATCGACAGATTTCAGAAGAACAATGTCCTGACACCAGTTAAAGTGGTGTTTTCCGTGCACGAAGGACACCTTGCTAAGGGCATCAGGCATCGCACACCACTCACATCAGCTAATGCTGAACGCTGGTACGTGGCTCCTGATGTCCAGAGGGTTGAAGTCGCAAAGGGCGGGTTAAAGGGGACACTCTTCACTCCCCCAGGTATGGATTAATGATAAGATGTCATCTTTGCCCATATATTGGTCATATATCATTAGTATATAGGCTAATTGTATTGTGAAATCATTTTTATTTATCTTTAATTATAGCCTACTATCAATATAAAATAATAATAAAATAAAATAAAAATGATAATATAAAAATAAAAATAAGCTACATATAATAATGCACAAAATTGTTATTTTATTGTTTAATATTTTCATTTATTTTATCAAATTTATTTACTCCGCCATTCAAATGTTTTGGTCAGTATTTTTTTTATATATATTGTAAAAAAAAGAAATTTAATACTTATTTAGAAATGAAGCATTAAATTGATCAAACATGACAGTAAATAACTTTTTATTCATCAAAGAATCCTGACATTTTCTTATAACTGTATTCACAAAAATAATAAACAGCTGTTTTCAACATAATAATAAGGATTATTACAACATTACAATAAGAAGAAATAAGATAATAATCAGAAATGTTTCTCAAGGAGCAAATCAGCACATTAGAACGAAGGATCATGTGACACTGGAGTGATGATGCTGAAAATTCAGCTTTGCATTACAAGAATAAATTACATTTTAAAATATATTCAAACAGAAAACAGTTATTTTAAATTGTAACAATATTTCACAATATTATGATTTTTTACTGGATGATCGATTTTTTTTTTTACTGGATTTTTAATTTGATTAAATAAATGAAACCTCGGTGAGCAAAAGAGACTTATTCTTTTGAACAGTATTGTATAATTATCATAATTTATAAGTTATTTTTTAATACTTATTTTATGTTGCGTATTAAATCTCAATCATTTGAACGAACCGACAGCATGCGGTCAGGATTTAAGAGAGGTTTAAATACAGTGCTATATGAAGGATTCAATCCAAATCATTCATAAACAGCACATGAAATATGTATTTGTCTTGTGCCACAAGAGATACACTTATTTTAAAACCAACCTACCCTGTAACCTTGTACATTTAGATTAATGGAAATCTTTGTACATTCTGTCTACATGTATAGAGGCTTAAGGGACTTCATTTATATGCATGTGGGTTTGTAATGCAGGTTCTGGACCCTTCCCTGCTGTGCTGGACCTTTCGGGTTGGCAGGGGGGTCATGTTGAGTATCGTTCAGCGCTCCTGGCTTCCCACGGCTACGTCTCACTGGCCCTGGAATACATGGGCTTCCTGAATGCGGAAGGAAAACTACAGTACAAGGACAACACCTACTTTGAGGTACATGTGCGCTACAAAACAAATAATAAAAATATAGCTGCGAGCAGCGATGGCGGGCCCAAGCCGGTGGCACCGCAACCCCGGCTCCTTTAGTTACCTAAAAAAACATTTATGGTGCTTTTTTGTGTATACACAAATGGTGCATAAAAGTGACTGTTTGAACTTGGATTAAAATGAATTTTACATTAATTTAGCATTTTATACAATTGTATTCATGCATTACAGGGAGTAATAGGTATATACTGTAATTTACACATTAAAAGTATTTAAAGCATGTCAAATCATTTTCAGACTGCCTTTACATGGTTAAAAAAACACCCCAAAGTTTGTCCTGACAAAGTAGCTGTGATGGGGATGTCATTAGGGGTCTTTGTAGCTCTGGGTTTGACGGCAAACTCAGAAATTATGAAGGTGAATACGTCTTAAGTTCTCATTTACATCAATGCATTGGAGATTTGATGCACTGTGTTTAATTTGCTTTCTGTTCTTTAATGACAAACTTTCAGCCCAAGTGTGTGGTCTGTGTGAGTGGGAGTCACATAATACCGCTCAAAGGATCTTTGGCGGATGTCCATGCAGCAATGCAACAGTAAGAAACACAATTTTCCCATTACGGGCACGGTTATTATGCATTACGTCATACCAACTGTATGTTAATGATGAACTGTTAACAATGGTCACTGTCAATGCCAAGGAACATAGAAAAAATGCGCTTTGATGAAAAGAAGAGAATAATTTGGCGGGATCTGTTGTTGCCAATACCAATTGACCCTTCCAAGAAGGCTGAGGTATGAAAATGATTCCTGCTGGGAAGCTACACTCTTAGAAGAAAAGGTTCTATATAGAACCTTAAAAGGTTCTATCAGCGCTACGTATTTGGAACTCCAAAATGGTTCTATATAGAACCATTTTTTTGGTAAAAGGTTCTATACACTCTTAAAAAAGTTTTCCTCTGGGTTCTATAGGGTTCCATACTTGGCCAATAGAACCTTTTACCAAAAAAATGGAGTTCCATATATGAAGCGGGGGATGGAACCATTTCTGGTTCTAAATAGAACCATTTCTTCTAAGAGTGTGGTATAGAAAATGCATTTTTTTTTTCTATAAAGCATCATGTGCTTACAGTTCATACGGTGGGTTTTGTTTTCACCAGATGGGCAAAATCAAATGTCCTGTTTTATTGATCGCTGGTGAGGATGATCAAAACTGTCCGGCACCAGAATCTGCAGAGGATGTAAGTCGATAAGTTTCATACGTTAACATGTTTGTCAGGTCAGTCATTACACTCAAATCTAATGGCCTCCTCCGCAGATGAAGAAGATGATGGAGAAGGCTGGGAACGGCCATCTGCTAACTGTTCTCTTGTACCCTGGAACCGGTCATCTCATTGAACCGCCCTACAGCCCTCACGTCCGATTCAGTGACTTAAAGCTACTGGAGACAAAGACCAAAGGTTAAAGTCTAAAACATCAATAAAACAGCTAAATATCACTGAGTTTGAGCTATTTAGCCCTTGTATTATGGTTAATTCTGGGCAAGATCATTATTTTCTGTGTTGAACGTACTTTATAGATAGATAGGTAGATGGATAGATGGGTTGATGGCATGTGTGAGTTGTATTTGAGGATGTTGAGGTGACTGTGGTGTGTGTTGCAGTGGTGAATGTTTGGGGAGGAGAGACGGCGCCTCACGGTCGAGCTCAGGAGGAGTCCTGGCAGAAAACACTCGCTTTCCTAGAGGAGCATCTCTGTGACAACAGCATTGAAGTTACACCATGCTAATCATCATGTGTGTGTATATTTATACACATATGGATATATGAATACATTATGGATATATTTTAAATAATTACGAGAAATCAAAATAACAAATTATACGTTTTATTTTAAATTACATGTTTTTTTACACTTATGCTAATCTATTAATCTTGGAATGCACAATCAAATTAAAGCGCAATTTATCCAACAAAATCATTTATATTTAAATTTAGACAATTAATTGATGAACTTGGTAAGTGTAATTTACACTGAAGAGCACTGAAGTATAAAAATAATAAATTAATGGATCATTTTTGACATTTTCAGTTAATCAAAGATCCATTACAACAGCTGTAACAGGTTATATGTGTAATGGTGCAATTAAAAATGCCAATAACTAGCTTACTCTTCGTTTTCAGTTATTTGCTCGTTGATTTAATCATGGAGTGGCAATTTTGATGAAAGACATGTTCAGAAATACACTCAGTTATTTGCTCGTTGATTTAATCATGGAGTGGCAATTTTGATGAAAGACATGTTCAGAAATACACTGGCTTCTGAGTTTCACTCATGCATGGACGCCAAGGGTCCTTTCCAGCCTCTAAACCAGTCAGAGACTGTGCTGTCTCGGTGGGCTCCTTCATCAAAATATCGGGCAAATCAATGAAATGCTTATGTGTTTTTATTTATTTCATTTTTGTCTAACTTCAATTGATAAGTTCTGTGTTTTCTTCTTTTGATACCCAAAAAAACTGTCACAAACTCTCGCTGCGACGAGGATCAAAGCACGATGTGTGAAGCTGCTGCCAGCTCTAGTCTAGACAGGCCTGCCAGAACATCTTACACCAGCAAATCGGGATCCACAGCATTAGATATTGCACTACATGCAGCTATTGATGTAGATGCCAAACAACGATAACATTTGTCTCATATTTGTTAACGTCCACAATGAGATTGATATCAGGAGTGACACCTCATTATCACCGCTGTGCTTTTGTAGTGTCTTCTTCTTCTTAAAAAAACAACAACACAATGCATTTTTAAATGTGAGCAGGATTTACTCATCTCACTTGCACAAAAGCATTCAGTATTCCTTAAAACTATTAAGACAGCATTTTAATAACATAAAAAATATATTCTAAATATTATTTTAATCATTATAAAGCAGAGGAATGCTTAGAACAATACACTGTAAAAAAATCTTTACATTAACTTAAAATAATTAAAAAAATAACTTATTTAAAAAAAAGTTGAAACTGCTTGAAGTCAGTTTAATATAAAATAAGTTGAACTGACTTGGAAGTTTTTAAAATTGACAGTTTTTAAGCTGAAATAAGTGGAAATTGTTTCCAGTGTAGCTCTATGTGTTTACAATACGAAGCATATTACTGTTTTTTTCCTCCAACTTGATTCATGTTTACAGTCAAATGCATTTATCGTATATTTTTCTTTCTTGTCTTTTCAAAAAACAGAGAATTGAGTCACAGTCTATTGTTCTTTAACACAAGATTAGACGCACCCCGCAGTCTTCATGCATCGGGTTTGATTTGCTATGGAAGTGTGAGCTGGTAATCCAAAGTGCTTTTGCATTAAAAAAGATGAGAGAATCATGTCTCATAAAATATCCAAAACCTTTTAACTTATTCCAGATGGCATCTTCAAATAATTGACTAACTGTAAGATGGCAAACAAACAACAAAGCGGCGATTAAGACTAATAAACTCACTGCAAGTCGGATATGTAATCTGAATAACGTTGATTAGCATTTAAGCAAGTTTGTGGTGTAGCCCTGGTCAACATGACCTTATTGCATTGATATAATAAATAATAGGACAAGGCAGTGACTTTATTTAATACCTTAACCGCCAATCCAAACATAGCAGAGAAGATTTGCTGCAAAGATTTTTGATTGATACATTTGCATTTTGTCTGGGTCTGTAAACGTCTACAGATGCCAAAAACACCCTCAAGGGGATGAGCGAGGAGAGAGAGAGAGAGAGAGAGAGAGAGAGAGAGAGAGAGATGTATTGGCCTGATTGGTATGTGGTTGCTAACCACAGCTGTTAAATTTGAGATCATAAAAATCCTTTGAAAAGTTTAAAAATGTATTTCTGTGATTTGTAGCCCAGATGCGCTGTGTTTATCAGTATTGGTACACAGCCACTGGCTGTAAAATTTTATTCGGGTAATAATTTGTAGCAATAAAGAAGATGATGTTCGAGAGATTCTTGTCCTAAATGTGCCTTAAAACTGCTTTTACAAAAGTTTAGAGTTATGTAGATGAAGACACAGTCATAGCTGTGGAAAATTAGGGTTTTCTAATGGCATATGTGACCAAAAATATCTGCAGCAATCCGTGCAAAATAAGTTAAAAGCTCATATCTGCCTTTTTTTAAAAAAAGTAGGACAATTTAATTTGAATAAATAGCTACTCTTTGTATCAGTGCCTTTCAGAGGATTTTGTTGCATTTACAAATAATATGAAAAAGTTTGAATAGGACACCTAATAGTGTTTTTCTCTTGGCCTGGGCTGACCTTTAACCTTTAAGAACATTCTTTCCTTTACAGACACTTTTAAAAGCCCAATAAAAATCAATATCAATTTAAATAGGTATGAAAGTGTCTTATTCTAAGTGTCAAATTTTTCTTATTAAAAATTTTAATTTAAATTTGTAATCATAAATACCTTTATTTTCCTTAATTATCAAAATATTTTCCATTTTGTCAGGTTATTTGGTGTATTCTAGTCAACACACGAGGAAGTACTAATTCTAAGTTTTTAATGATTAAACCAACAATGCAGGAGAATACACAGAAAAACAAAAGTGCATGAACACACTCAAAGTAAAGACGACACCGAACAATGAACAGAAGGAAGGGCTTAAATAAACAGGGTAGATACTCAACAGAACATGAAACAGGTGCGTAACTCAAATCAGTAACCACGGTAACCACAGTAACCAAACCCAAACTGAGGGTACGTTTACACGACAACAATGTTCTAAACGTTTTTTCTTTGTGTTTTTCGTGTACAGAGACAAGAACTCATCAAAACGGTCACCGTTCGTTCACACAGATCTGCGAAAACGACTAAAAATGCGATATTATGCTGCCAGGCCACTAGGTGGCGATGTCACTTTGTAAAGGAACACTACGACTGAACATGTAATACGTATGCGCATGACGTCATCATTTTCACAAATTCGCGTTTTGGTAGTTTACATGGAGACGATAACGATAACGAAAAGTTTGAAAAAAGTTTGCGTTTTCAGGCCCCGTCATGTAAACGAACAGCCGAACCACATAAAAAGTTTTCCGTATTTAGTTGAAAATGGTGTTCTGTAAAATACTATCAAACTGAACATAAACCAATCACTTTTGGCCACTGCTGTAATGAAAACTTTACAAAACACGTCTAACACTACTTTTTGTATTATTTGTTGCCTTAGGACACCAAGACTGACACTAAAAATAAGTGCATGAAACAACCAAGCATTTTATCTAAAGCGTTTGCTTTGTTCCCAGTGAATGATTTTTACAATGATTTGTGGCAGATGTCCTGAATTATTAATCAAGTTCCCACTAGCCTGCATCATTCACTCTGATAAATTCCCAAACATTCGTTACATTCTTTCTTCTAAAGGAAATGCATTGTTAGCAGACACACCTTCTAAAGCAGTAGTAAAGCATTAATCTAAGCAAGTAAACTCATGTTGCTTCAGATTCAGCTTCTAGTCAAACACACTGATGTGAAGAGAGTGTGTTCTGCAATGAATCTCCCCATAATTCCATCGCATACAGAACGCAGTGTACATGACAAGCATAAATCAGCTTTCAATGCAACATAATCCCTTTTTTCTCACACAGCCTAAGGGCTTTTCTTCCTTCTCTCTCTCTCACACACACACGGGAGCTCAGGTGTGTCTTTACAAGCTTCAACTTTCAGAGTTATTACTGGCTGGCAGCTACGGGAACGCACACACAAGCCCGAGACCACAACACACTTTTTGATTATCAGCAGAAGATCCAGTTGAATCAAACTATCCATCCTGGTCAGTGTAAGTGAGAATGTGCAATCGTTGAGTCATGTTTTGTGTAAGCAGCTGTACTGCAGTAGTAAGAATAATACAATGAGGTGTAAAGTTAAAGTCAGCGCTTTGAATCGTTCTCTGTAGACTAGTGGACTATGATGGATCTCTGGTAGAAGTTCAGTCACGTCTTCTACCTCATGCTATTTGTCTTCATATCTGCTAAGGTATGTGTAAATATTCTGTTATAGTAATCATGTGATGATTTATTTGGTATACTTTATTTTAGTATCATTCAAATACTATTATAGTTTTTATTCAAATTTTAAATTAGTTTTTATTTTACTGTTTATTTCAGTTTTAGCTATATTTAGTTCAATAAGTTTTTTAAATATTGTTTTAATTTTATTTAACATTTATTTCAGTTAATGAAAATACTTTTTTATGGTTTTAGTTTCAGTTAACTATAATAATTCTGGATGCTCTATACACCAGTATTTTGTTCCGTATTAAAAATGTGTTTTGAGTTGATGGGTTTAATTCAAATAATCAGATAAATTCTGTATATTTTGAGAAGATAAGAATTGTTAACATGCAAAACGTTTAGTAATTTATTTTATTTTTAATTATTAACATTATAATTGTTGATGAGTATTTTTTTATGTTAGCAACTTTTATTTTATAATGATTTTTTTTTTTTTTGCATTTTAAAACGTAATTTTATTTTTAGTAACTTTAGTAACTTTTTCTTGTTTATACATTTAGTTGTTTAACATAAATAACATTTATTTTACTTATTATAGTAATTTAGTTTTACTTCAGCAAAATGACTGTAGTGGCCAAAAGTGATGTCCGGCCTAAGAAAACTGACATCTTCACCCTTAATTCAAATATTATTAAAATAAATATGATTTTATTAAAGCATATTGTAGTTGAGCTTTGAATCAATTGTTTTATTCAGTAAAACATGTGGGGACATAATTTTTGGCCATGGCTGTCATACAAAGAAATTATGAACATGCAAAAACAAGAGAGAACAAAATATTAATAACTGATTATGTTGTAGTATGCTTTTTCCTGCGAGCTTAAATCTGTAGCTGTAGTTTGCCTTTTTTAGCCGAATAATTTTGTCAGAATAATACCTTAACCAAGCTGTGTTTTGTTCTTCCAACATATATAAAAAATAAAACATTTTTCTCATATTTTGATGGTTTTTTTTATTTATTTAGAAGGGACATTAAAACAATTATCCCTTCTGGACAACACTTTTGGCCACTTCTGTATGTCTGAAAAATAATAAAAAAGTGAAAAAAACATGTCTTGAAATACATATGAAAAATAATGGATAAACTGTCCTTTCCAGATAAAATAAGT